AGTAATCTTACAGCAAGCATTTGTTTGCAACGCCTACTTAAAATAAAAAAATAAGAAAACACATTTTTCGTCATAACTAAGAAATCATATGTGATATGTCCTTGAATTCGTAGAAGATGCTATCAGGTACAGCCTGTAAAATAAAGATGATTATGGTTTCTCAAAAACGAAACGTCGGGCACAAAATTTAAAAACACCATTATGTAGTGCCTAAATAGTTCCAACGAAAAAGTTCCATTAGTTCTTTTATATTTCTTAAAACAAAGTCAGAAAAAATAATAATGATTTGGCCAAATTTTAGTTCTACTCAACTGGCTACTGATCTACTATGGCTGCCCTGTCGAATGCAATGACTGTAATTCGTAAATCAGTTGTTTTCTGAGCAACCTCAGTTACTTAAAATAGCTATTATTCAAATATACATAACATTTGATGTGAAAATTAGGTATCTGAAGTTACCCAGTTATAGCAGCAGAATAAAGTTAGGCTTACACTAGTCTAGTTGTTGCTACTTAAACTTTGGTAAATAGGTGCTAACACATATATTTAGTGTTCGTGAAATTTGATATTGTATTGCCAAAAATATGACTTCCAGAAGAAAAAGAATAGTTTCATTTGGAAACTTCCCACCACGGATTTATCGAAAACCACTGATTAAAAGAAAAAACGCCGAGACACGTCGAAAGATTTGTCAAGGGAGACAACTTTTTAGCCAAAAACTACTTCACCCCTTTCACCCTCTTCCATCCAGGGTCATCCCCTTAAAAATTTTAAATGACAAGAGTTTTCGAGTACTAGCTTGTTTGAAAGGTATTTCAAAGTCCTTTATTTTGACGCTTGATTTTTCAAAATCAATCGATTCGTTATCAAAAAAATTAGAAAAATCTTTATTTATACTAATTTGTTCAGATAGAAAACATAAGCAAACGAAAATATCACTTTTTAGTTCAATAAGTGTGTGTTCAAAATGTTGCCCGCTATTATGATGCGTTGACGAAGTTCATCCAAACTTTCAGGTTGGAGACTAAGCACAATAGATTTCAAATGGCCCCATAGAAAAAAGTCTATAAGCCCTCTTCGCCCTATTCATTTATCTGGAAAATCGTCGTCTAGCCCTAGCCGAACCGGAAGAACATAGTGAGGAGGAGCGCCGTCTTGCTGGAAATATATTTCAGCCTCATCAGGTACAGGGTTTCCTTCCTCTTCGATTTGGTTTTCGATGATTTTAGTGATAAGCGGATTGATGGTATTTTCCAACATATCCAAAGAAATGTCACCATTCAAATTCCCGTTTATAAACAATGGCCCAATCACTTTGCCTCCTAAAATGCCTGCCCATACATTATTTTTTGAGGGTACTGGGTATGCCCTTCTACAAAAGCATGAGGATTTTCAATACTCCAATACCTGCTGTTATGATTATTTACAAATCCATTTAGATAAATTGTGCATTCATCACTGAAGCAGATATTCTTTACATGAATTGTATAATCATTAATCGCTGCAGTCATTTGTTCACAAAAGTCATCTAGCCTATCGAAATCATCTTCGGTTAACTCTTGCAATATCTTTATTTTAAATGGATGAAATTTATGGAGTTTGGTAACTGTATTTACTTCAACTTGAGCGGCTTGATCAAAACCCTCCGATAATCACGTTTTTTATTTGCAACAGATAAATTTAGTAAGAAGGTCCAAAACGTACCTATGCGAAGTTATCTTCCCCGGATGTCTGGCGTTAAACTGACAGCAAATTAAATTCTTTCTTTCCCGTACCAACAAATAACTAAGCAGGTATAACAATAAATACAGTTCGCCCAGGATATCTGTGTTGATGAAAAGAATGCTGGCAAATTCGGGTTGTTATTTGGTTGTTGCCACGTCTAATCTTCCAAAATGCTGTTTATGTTGGTAGTTTCCGTTTTAAATCATAAACGAATTATAGATTTGGCAAACGCTAACGGGCAACGTTTTGAATACTGATTGAAATAAAAAGTGATATTTTCGTGTGTTTTTGTTTCATATCTGAACAAATTATATGAATAAAGATTTTCTGATTTTCTCGAAAACGAATTGACTGATTTTAAACAATCAAATGTTAAAATAAAGGACTTACAAACAAGCTATTACTCAGTACCCCTGTCATTTGAAATTCTTAAGGGAATGACCTTGGAGGGTCGAGGGTGAAAGGGGGTGAAGTAGTTTTTGGTAAAAAATTTGTCCCTCTTGACAAATCTTTTGACGTGTCACGGCGTTTTTCTTTTGATCAGTGGTTTTCGAAAAATTCGTGGTGGGAAGTTTTCAAATGAACAGGTATTTTTTACTTTATATTTTTTAGCTTTTATTCAATTTTTGTGTAAAAATTATTAGAGTATAATTTTAATCTAGTCAAAGGTATTTGACAGTTGAAGCGAATTAAATAAGTTGCTTTACAAGGTATAGAGCTACTGGAATTACACTTTTCATTTCCCTAGTTTGTAAATGATAATAAGTTTATTCACGTATTGTATAAACATAACTAAACCTAACCTACTTGTACATAAATGCGGCAGTTACCCGCAGAAGAATGAATTCTTGTGAGTAAGAATGAATGGCTCATAACTTACATAAATACATATATGTACACACACACCTAAATAGATATACATATATACACATGTACGAGTATATGAACATTGGAGTTTTGTACTACTACATTGAATTTAAATTTCCTTCACACATACTTGCAATTTGATGTAGACTTTTCTCGATTATACATTTTTTGACTTCAATTTTGAACTTTGTTTTATTCTAAATATTCCTTATATAATTTGGTAATATGGAAAGATGAGTATGACATATTTGGCCTACACTTTTTGAAGTGAACCGTGTTTGTTTGATGTAGTTGATTCTGTTTCTCGTTTGATATAAGTGATAAGATCAATTCTGTGTTGAAACTGATAAATTATAATTTTGTAAAAAAATTGTTGCTAGTGTCTAACGGTTTTGCTTCAGAACACAACAAATCAGGTGGATGTAGGAGTTGCTTGTCAAAGATTATTTTTAAAAATCGTTTTTAGATAGTTCCACATTTATCATTTGGTTATTAAGTCCTCCGCCCCAACCTAATATTGAATAACTCATTCGACTTTCGATCATAGCATGAGATAAAATTATCATTGCTTTTTATCCAAATATTTAAAACACGTGAATTTAAACAATAATGGTCTCAGATTGGTTATTACACGATCAATATGTAAATTCTACTTTAAATGTGGGTCTTAATATACATCTAGATATTTTATTTTCTTTGTTAAATTTATACGAGTATTTATATTATCACAGTTGATTTGTTTAGGAATAAAGGATCGTAATTTATTTCTATGATTTGTGAATGGCATGAACATAGTCTTTTGGAAATTAGTAGTTAGGCATTTGTGTTTGAACCAGTATGCAATTATTATTAAGTCGCTTTCAGCCTTCACCTTTAGACCATCCCACGAGTTGTTATTCGAATAGATGATACCAGCATCGTCTGCAAAACATCTATTGTCCCTTCAGGTTTTAAGCTCAGCAGGCTACTAATGTAAAGTTTAAATAATAAGGGACACTGCTCCTTGTGGGTCACCATAAGTTACCAATTTGTTTGCGCTTAATGAATTATTTATTTGTACGCACTGTGTTCTGTTGAAATTGTAACTTTTCATGAGGTTATAAGCCTTGCCTCTGATTCCTGAGTCGTGTAAGATTTCTAATACAGGGTGGCGCATCGAAAACGAAACAGATGTATTTACTGGCAGCTCAGACCAGTCGAGTTTGTTTTCGAATCACGTTAACACGTGCAGCCCCCTGGGCAGGTGTGATACCAACCCTAAAATCTTAAATGGAAAGGGGGGTCGAGTGATACCTTATTTTAAAGGTCTTTCAATTCCCTTTATAGTGATGTAAAATACATGAGCTTCAGTTCAGTAGTTTAGATGATTTATTGATTTAAAGCTTAAAGTAGACTTTAATAGGAACATCAGATTAGTTTGTAATACTTTCAGAAGAAATTTGACTAAAAGAGTTTACTTAATAAGTTAAAGGATTTCTTCACTACGCCCATGGTTTGTTTATCATTTTGTTATTGAAAATAGTTATTGGAGAGTTTTTTTGTGGCAAAAAAGTTATTTCTTGAAGAAAGATAAGGAAATATATCGTACTTATTTTAAATAGGAATTTAGTACATAGTTTGCGATTGATTTGACCAAACGTTATTGCTAAAATAACTTGTAACGCCTTATTACATAAATTAACCATGGTATATTCCACAGCAGAAAGAGTTGAAATTATCGAAATATTTTTCGGAAATAATCAGTGCGCTAATAGAACACCAGAAATATTTAATGAGCCTTATGAGAACAGTAACGTGCATTGAAAATATTTCTAGAACTCGTAGCTAAATTTCGGGAAACTTTGTCAGTCGCCAATAAAAAACGCAACATTGAAAATCCCATAAGGAACGAAGCAGTAGAAGTGGGGGTTTTAGGGCAAGTTTATGTAGATCCTACGTTAAGTACCCGCAAATTGGAGACTGTGTGTGGTGTTAGTCGACATACTGTCCAACGGATTCTAAAGGCCCATAGTTTTCATCCGTATAAAATTCACCTGGTACAAGAACTTAATGAAGACGATTTTGATCGGCGATTACAATTTTGTGAAGATATGAGTGAACGAATTATAAACGATAAACATTTTCTATTCAACACTTGCTTTTCCGACGAATGTTCCTTTTTCTTAAATGGCGTAGTATATCGTCATAACTGCCGATATTGGTCCGATTCTAATCCCAGAATTTATCATGAGGTACATACACAGCAGCCACAAAAATGAATCGTTTGGGCTGGTATTTTTGGCGATCATTTAGTTGGTCCTTTTTTCTTACCTGGAAATTTGACCGGTGAAATGTATTTGGAATTACTGGAAGACGCCATAGATCCTGCATTAACAGCCATAATTATATATATATATATAATAAGTTGATGTTCCAACAGGATGGTGCCCCACCACATTACGCATTACGTGTTCGACAATTTTTAGATCAGACGTTTCCAGATCGATGGATTGGTAGAAGAGGTGCCAGTGAGTGGCCCCCCAGATCGCCAAATTTATCCCCTTTGGATTTCTTTATGTGGGGTCATTTAAAAAGCAAAATCTATGCTACTCAGCCAACATCATTAGAAGACCTGCGACAAAGAATTGTGAATGAGTGCCTTCAAATTACTCCTCAAACATTGCAAAATGTGCGGCAACGTTTTGAGCAAAGTCTTTATTATTGCATGGATAGCCATGGTGGCCATTTTCAACATTCACTTGCCTAACGGGTCAGTTCATTCTTCATTTTTAAATTACTTTGCTGCCAAATGTATTGATCTCCACTAATGATGATGTATTACTTTTATTTAAGCTTTAAATCAATAAATCTTCAAAACTACTGAACTGAAGTACATTAATTTTATATCATTATAAAGGGAAGTGAAACACCTTTAAAATAAGGTATCACTCGACCCCCCTTCCCATTTAAGATTATGGGGGTGGTGTCACCCCCGCTTAGGGGGCTGCACGTGCTAACGTGATTTTTTACCAAACTTGTGTCCCCCTTGAAAACAAAATCGACAGGTCTGAACGTTTTTAAAAAAAAACTGTGCTGCCAGTAAACGCGTCTGTTTCGTTTTCGATGCGCCACCCTGTATATGCAAGTGGTCTACTGTGTCGAATGCTTTTGCTAGATCTAAAAACACACACAGGGTATATTCACTTTGGTCCAGTAATTTGTATAATTTTGCTATCAAAAAAGAAATTGCGTCTTGGGTAGACTTGTTTTTCTGTAATCCAAATTGTTTTTCATTAATCAGATTATGTTTATCAAAAGAATTTAGCGGTCGTGTTTTTATAATGTTCTCAATAATTTTTGCAAAGCTAGATATTAGAGTTATAGGCCTGTACCTAATTGTTAGCATTTTTTTACCATATGCACTGTTATGAAGGAAATTGGTTTCTAAAAAAAAAATGTAATAAAAGTCCTTTTTTCATTGCTAATTTTTTTCCTCCTTCTATAAAGCAATTATTGAATGTATCAGCAATATCTTCACTTGCGTGTATTATTGTATTATGGACGTTTATTTCTTCAATTTTTGATTCAGCTTTGGATGAATTACAGATTTGGTTTATGGTATTCCATAGCATTTTAGAATTAGATTTGTTGTTTTGTAGTTTTTCTGTGAAATATTTTTGTTGATCAATTGACAGAGTTTAGATTTATAGTACAAATAATTTCGTTTTGTTTTGTCTGTTGGATTTGTCTTGTATAATTCATATTTTTCATTTTTTTCATTGATTGATCTGGTTAGGCCAGCAGTTACTAAGTTGTTTCTTGGGCTGTCTTTACTATTTATCTTACTTTTGTTGGTATTTTTTGAGATACTTTCAGTGATTGTTGTAGTTACATAGTAGTTGCTGCGTGAACATTTCTTGTGGTTTATAAGTTGCCCCAGGTTTCGGATTTTAGGTCTATTATTATTTTTTATATATATTCCGTATGCTTTGCTTTATTAGGGTTAGTATGTACAAAATCTTTGAAGTTGAGGGGCAGAGTTGATTCTATACTAGTAGTGTAGTGATCAGTAATATTTGATTTTATTGCCAAAGCTGTAAAAACTATGATTTTCTTGTTTACTTATTAAAAAAATGTGGTATATACCATTACAGGAGGCGCCAAGCACTCTAGTCGGAGTATTCATGATTGAGGTTAAGCTTACTATAGACAACATGTTAAGATATTCATGAACAAGCAAATTATTACTATCTAAGATGTTTATGTTGAAATTTTTTGAGGGTGGTCTGTAGAAAGTTATTATTGATATAACAATTGTATGTATATTTACCTTAATAAGACACTCGGTGAACTGTATAGTGTCAATGTTCATAAAGTAAAGTAACAAAAAACATTATGGCAACCTATACCTTCTGACATAGATAATCTACCTTGAGTGTTAAATACCACTTGTTGTTGTCAGTATTTAAGAAAAAAGATTTTTCTCTTTTCTATTTGTGCAACTTGAGATGGATTCTACTACGGCTTGAGGAATTTATAAAACCACCGTGATTTTATTTATTTCAGGCTTGGATGCAGAGCCTTCCACCTCAGGTATAAGTCGGTACGATAGTGCATCTGATGCTGAGCCTTTTTCTCCCGAAGTTTCAGAATATTACCCATATTCAGATAGTTACGACACTGATGATGACACAACTGATAATAGTCTGTTAATAACAGTAAAAGGAAGGACACAAAATAAAAATATAATCAGAAATTCAGTGCCATGAAACGACCCAACAGCACAGCCTGATAGACAATTAAACCAAGATGACTTCGAAGGAATACAAGGACCCAAAAAGCCAGAAAACGTCGTAGGCAACTTGATAAATGGACGAGAAATGTATCGAGAATTAAACGACAACATGGACAAGCCTACATCTCGTCTCGAGAAACATTTGTTCCGGGAGTTTGTATGCGTGATCATTGTCCAATAACTTTCCGAAGAAAGTTTGATTCAAAATTTTCTAATGAAGAAAGACTTAGTATTTTAGCAGGTATTATAACTTGGAAACTTACGAAAGAAAACGGTATTTTATTCATAACAACATAGATAAATTGGAAAAGAAAATTAGAATAAGAGAGTTTATCAAGACGAAATTATACAGTTCACTTTTACTTACCAAAAAAACCTAACGCAAAAGTTAAAGTTTGTAAGACTACATTTCTCAACACGCTAGGCATACGAAAGGGTGTTGTTGATATTGCTATGACAAAAAGAACTCAAGAAAACATCAGTGAGCACAACAGGAGAGGCAGGCATATGAAAAAACAAACTGCAGAAGACATTCTAAATAGTGTCAGATGTCTCATCGAAAGTTTTCCGGTTGTAGAGTCACATTATTGTCGTTCAGACTGAAAAAGAAAATATCTGGATCGCTCCCCTAACGTAGACTTAATGTATGAAAAGTATAACCAGATCAGATTAAAACAGAACTTGGAAGTGGCTAAGCCAAAAAAGATCAATGTCGTACTTGTATGACTTACAAAAACTGTGTGAATAAAGGTCAATTGGTTGCAAACTATCAAAGGCATCTCTTAGAAAAGAATCAAGCACTTTCAGAGGAAAAGGAATGAGCCCAAGATGCAGCAGCAAGTCAGAATTTTGTTAGCTGAAATTTTGATCTTAAGCAAGCTTTACAATCACCAACTGATCCGGCAAATAGTGCCCTATTTTATAAGCAGAGATTCAAGTTATTTAATTTTTCTATTTACAATGTAGCTTATCACCATTGTGATTGTTTTAGCTGGTTTGAAGTTGACGACAACTGTTGTGCTGGTCAAAATCTAAATAAATATGCTGCAGGAATGTGATTGACTGCAGAAAAAGATTTACCTAATTTGCATACCATAGATTTAAAGTTTATGGTCGTTGGTCATAGTGAAATTGAATGTCTCTATACATTCGGCAATAACAACAAAGCCTCAACGATTGGCAATTAACTTTTCCAGCGGATGGGAAAACAATTGCTCGTAGTGCAAGACAAAATGTCGCACGGTAAATTCTTGACTTGGAAACCTTATGTCGATAGCAACATGATGATTCGTAAAGGGGACTTGAAGGGTAAACCAGTAAGCTGGCAGAAAATCTGTTGGCTCAACTTTTCGAAAGGAAGTCGAAAGTCTAAAGAGTCCTCCGAAGAAGAGTTTAGAAGTCTTGATTGCACCAAACGAACAAGAAGCAAAAGTACTTTGACACTGGTAGAACGCAAGCCTTTATATGCGCCAGTCTTACGAATATTGAAAGAAAAGTATGACGACTAGATTTCCCTTTTCAAACAGATTCTTCCTGCACTTGGCATAGAATACAATTTTTTTCTTAAAGTTTGCCACACAAAGAAAGTCAGAAAAATAAAAAAAATATGTTGCGAAGCCTTTGGAACTCAAGGTGACTAGTCACATTAAAGTTGAGTTCTTTCTTTAGTGGTTAACTAAAAGTTTAATTTTGTAGCTAATATTAATAATTAATTTGTATCTTGCCGATTTATTAATAAATCATCCTGAATAATTCCTTTCACATTATGTATTTACAACTAGATAACTAATGAAAACAGTAATTTGAAGTAGCACAACTAGATAATTTATTTTTTCATGGATCGAAAGGTGATTTTTAGAAAAAAATGTCCAATTTCTATAAAATATTCCATTTTCCACAATCAAGTAAATAATGATCCAATAGTATTGAAAAAATATGATCAAAAATTATAGAACATTTTTCCGTAGTTAAAAATGGATATTCCCAATAGTGGACCCTTTTGAGATATCTACGAGGTGTTTGCAGGTTTCTCAACGGCATGTAAACATAGGTATTAAGATCCCCATGTATAGGATCTTTATCTTGAACACTGTGTATAGGCAAAATTAGAGCGTAGTGATTTATGAACCAGAAACGAAAATCTCCATAGTTCTTTGTTAATAACCGAATGAGACTTACTCCATCCCTATACCACATAACTCCGACCGATGGATAAGCTTCCACTCTTCCACTCAGCCGCAACTCCTTCCCTTCTTTGATCTCGATCAACGGCGGTTCCAAATCACTGCAAAATGCTGGCGAAATATACCCTTTAATTCCTTTGTCCACCACCAGGTTGCATCTGCACGAAACTGCACCAAAACTGTTCTTGGCTGTGACGCTATACACGCCAGAGTCTGTCAAGTCAGTTTTGCTTATTTCAATTGTATGGAAATTGTCGTCCGTGCAGAAACTGTGCCGATCTGGAAAGCAAAAAATATCGTCAGGTAGATTGACTCCTACGCCTTCGTTGGAAAGAAAAGGTATGCGTCAAATCGTTTCAAAAGGCGAAATCAAATCGCAATTAGGCAGGTTCACTAAAGTATGATGAATCTTCGACCTCTTCGAAATATATAAAGCAAATTTATAGTTCTGTTTTCTTCATAGATGTGGGGAAAATATGTGTAAATTATAATGTCTAACTGGTTAATAGTATCCCTGGGACCAGCAGCTTCTGAATAATAGAAGGTCCCTTTCACTGACACCAAATATGTAACAATTTACAACCATTTACTGAATACAGTGTCGAATCTACAATGTTCACCTCCTCCAAACAATGTCTGAAAATGAGCAGAAATATCTTTAACATTGTAACACTATGTTCGACCGATTTTAATCCCACCGCCCTTGAATCAAATTTCAAAATCTAGAACTACTGAAGCGATATGAGTATTAAGCTCGCCATAAAATTAGACGTCGATTCACAAGTTTTCAGTTGCTTGAAGATCACACAATTCTGTGTTTCTCGTTTTTGTCAGTTTGTCAGTCGGTAACTGTTATATATCAATGCGTCATATGTACTGAGTCAATCTACTTGATGAAATAATTAGAGAACCATCCTTGACGGAGTAACACAAATTAAAGGTTATGCGAAATACATGGTACATTTAAGGATCATAAAATTCAGCAAAACATATATGTGTAACTTAGTGATATACGAATATTTAAGAGTGTGAATCTACATGAAAACTTAATGTCAGTTTGCTTTATAAGCTATGGTCCAAAAATGTTCCCTTACAAAAACTCTGAGTGTTGAAGTTTTAGGAAAAAAATGGAAATTAGTTAATATTTTCAGAACCGCTTCAGATATTTCACTGATATTTGGTACGTAGTGGAAGTTAATAAAGTTGCATATTTTTCAATGCAAAAATCATTTTTAGCTTTAACAGTGGCGTGCGAACGGGTATTGACTTCGATATTTTTTATGAAAAAAATAGTACGCCAATGGTTTTTTGCTAAATAAAAATTATTTTCTAATTCCCCGTTCAATATAAACAAATGATCTCGCTTAAATTGTTTTCCTTGGCGTCATTTTTGAGTAAAAAAATAAAAACCGTTCTATTGTCTAGTTACTCTGGAATATGTCACTGACTTTTCACATCTGACAAGTCTCTGATATTCAAACATGTTCGCTGTGACAGCTTTGTCATTATTTAGTTTCTACAAACTTAATAATGGTGAATTATTCAAATGCAGAAATGGCGGAAATGCATTACGTATATGGCCTTACCGACGATAATGGTGAGCAAGCGAGACGGAGATATACCGATCGTGCTTTGCCAGATAGTCGAATCTTTTCTAATATTCATCGTCGTCTTGTTGAAACTGCTTCTGTCCGAAAAGGAACATCTGAAGGTAGACAGACCTCTAAGTGTGAGAACACCTGAATTTGAGGAAGCAGAGCTGCCCGAAGTCGAAGAACATCCTCAAACGAGTACCAGGAAGATCGCTAGACATTTAAATATTTGCCATCAAATTGTTTGGAGAATTTTTGTGGATTTTTTTATATCCTTACCATATTTTAAGAGTACAGGCATGACTTCCCATTGATTTTCCAAGACGTGTCACCTTTTGTCAGTGGTATCTTCAAAAAATTACACAAAATCCGCAATTTGTATCAATGATTCTGTTCACGGACGAAGCTAATTTTTCTCGAAGTGCCATTCAGAATTTCCACAATAATCATTTGTGGGCAGAAGAAAATCCCTATGCCGTAACCGAAACCCATTTCCAACACCAATTTTCGGTTAACGTATGGGCAGGAATTATTGGCAACCACTTTGTTGGCCCATTCTTCTTGCCGGGACGACTTGACGGACAGACTTACCTCAATTTTCTTCAGCAACAGTTGCCTTTGTTGCTTGATAATGTTCCGTTAGTAATAAGAAACAATATGTTGTACATGCATGATGGTGCATCAGCGCATTTCGCTGGATTGGTCGCGATGGCCCTCAGGAATGGCCACCAAGGTCCCCAGACCTCAACAGTTTAGATTTCTTTTTGTGGGGCTATCTTAAGACACTAGTGTACATAAGTCCCATTAACACTGTAGAGGAATTAAGAGAAAGAATAGTTGCAGCTTGTGATAGAATAAAAAACACTCCAGGGATATTTCAACGGGAGCGCACACTAAGTGAAGGGGGCAATTTTCAACAATTTTTGTAAGAATTTCGTTGATTTTAATGTTATGTTTATGTTGTCAGGTGTTGTTGTTCATTACGTGTTTAATTTTTCCAATTGAATTAATAATAATTTTGCAAGCTAGACAATAGAACTGTTTTTTTTACTCAAAAATGGCGCATCGAAGGAAAACGATTCAAGAGAGATCATCTGTTTCAAATTGAACGGAGAATTCAAAAATTTGGCAAAAAACCAACGGCGTACCATTTTTTTCTTAAAAAATATCGAATTCAATACCCGTACGCACGCCACTGTTAAAGCAACAATTATTTTTGCAATGAAAAATATGCAACTTTGTTAACTTTCACTACGTACTAAATAACAGTGAAATATCTGAAGCGGTTCTGAAAATATTAATTAATTTCCATTTTTTTCCTTAAACTTCGACACCCCGAGTTTTTGTAAGGAAACATTTTTGGACCATAGTTTACAAAGCAAACTAACATTAATTTTTCATGTAGATACACACCCTTAAATATTCGCATATCATTAAGGAATACCCAGTATATAGAAACAGTTGAGTCATCACAAAAGCATCGCAGAACGTACCCCATTATCCAAATATTGCTAAAATGTATAAATATTTCTCCTGTAGCGGTGTGTCAGTGACGACTCGGTCGCAGACCAGTTGGAGTTTGTTACCCGTTGCACAGTCGGCAGTAGCCTCCACGACGATGCAGCATCCCCCGAATACGCAACGCCAACGGTTGCCAAGTTATTTCGAATTCTAAGCACATTATACATCGAACCTTTATCATTTAATTTTGCCGTTCCTACTGGGATCAGAAGCTTGTTAATTATAGAACATTTTTGACTAATACTAATGACATTACATTTAAACCCTCTAGCACTTACAACCCCCAACCACCAAGTTTCAACCTCTGCAAAAAATGTTCCGAAAATGACCAGTAGCCTCTGAAACGTCAAAAAACTAGGTTTAGGTGATTTTTATTTTGTTCTTGTTTTTGCTTCTAGCTCCAATACCACTAGACCGATTTTCAAAAACTACAAAGCTTTTTCATCCTTGGCATACCTAGTAGTAACCTTGTGTGAAAATTTCATAAAAGTTCGAGAGATACTTCCCAAGTTATAGGCGGCTATAAAATTAGTGGACAAACCGACAGACATGTAGACTGACGGAAATGAGTGACATGTTTTTTCGTAATGTACATGTCATATGACATGAAAAACACATATCTCATTTCTAATCTTTTCGCGATTACAATACTTTCTCGCCAGTTTTGGCATACCTGTAGGAAGTAAAAAAGATAAGAAGGTTATAAGGCATCCCTTAAGAAAATACAGGTTACCCTTTTGAATAGGTTAACATTTTTACCACCGTGCACTATCTTCGTATCCAAGCAGCTATGAAACTATAATAAATGAAATAAAAATCATTATATTTCTCTTACCATCAGATGAAATTTCTTTTCCATCCTTGTACCAGATTATTGTTGGTTCTGGAACGCCTGCTACTTGACATGTTAGTCTGACAGGATAAGTCAGTTGTACCCTTCTGTCTCGCAATCTCATCGTAAATTGTGGTGGAAGTTCTGTTGCCTTATCCAAATCTAAAAGACTCCTGCAAAGCAGCGCAAGTGATACTCAGAAAGAAATCGTCACAAAAAAGTATTCTTTTGAAGACCCAGGAACTTTAAATGTAGACTCAAATTCTTGAAGAAGCAAAATTTATAGGGGAAAGTCGCCTATATCGTACTGGCTCCTTAATTGTACCTTGTCGATATTTCAGATATTACGCTTTTGTGTAAAACATCTTTCACCACAATTAGAACCCCTAAAGTTGGCAACCAGTAATACCAGCAAAAGTTTGACAGTAGCGCGTATCGCTCCCGACATATTTAACGTTTTATTTTGTGCGGCAAAGTGATATAAAGTTTGGTTGATCTACCGTAAGTAGTTTTGGATATTTTAGTTGACTTAGCCTAAAATCTATTGTATGCCTTTAAGATTAACAACTTTTATACACCTTTTGATAACTTTAAACATAACCTTATTTCTATAATTTCCAGAAAAACTTTATCTTTATTTATTTGGTGTAAAGTTGCCTTGATCGTACCATTAGAGATTGCCTAAAACGTACCGGTACGATTAAGGCAATTTATAATCAAAAAAAATAATAGGTCGATCCTGTACTTTTTCTGCGGAGATGGAGGAAGACTTGGAAACGCATATTTCAACACTAGTCAATTTTTTTGGAGTGACTATTCGAGAAGTAAGAAAGGCTGTCTTTGAATTCGCTGAGCGCAATGATCTTAAACATAATTTTAATGAAATCACTAGGATGGCCGGAAAAAAATTGTTTTATAGCTTTATAAGTCGCCATCCACAACTTTCCTTGGGACAACCAGAATCAACTTCGATCGCACGGTGTAAAGGTTTCAACAGAAGCAATGTTCAGGAGTTTTTCATTATTTTAGAAAAACTTGTTGAGGATCATGGTTTGACTGCTCCGAAAATATAACAATATCGACGAAATGGGTTTTTCTACCGTACAAAAAAGATGTCAGAAAGTGCTGGCTAAAAAACGAAAATCCCAGGTTGGTGTCATATGCTGCGCAAGTGCTGCAGGTCAATACGTGGCACCAATGTTAATTTTCAAGAGGAAAAGGATAGCGCCAGAGCTGGCAGATGGAGCTCCCCCAGGATCACTGGTCGAAATACCGGATACTGGTTACATTAACGCCGATTTGTTTGTTACTTGGTTAAAACATTTCATTGCTGCAGTTAAAGCTTCAAAAGAGGATATAGTGCTTTTGGTTTTAAGGCTGCTACACACAGTGCCGCCGGGCAAGCCGCCTGCGGCATACAAAGCCGCCGGCCTTGCCGCGCAAAGGAGCCGCCGTGGTGTGCCGGCGTCACTTCGTTCCTGGCATTCGAGCGGTAGTGTTGTGCGGTTTGTGTGTTTAAACAAATTAAAATGTCGTTTAATTGGGACGACGAAGCTGTGCTGCTCTTAATTGAAAAATTTCATGAAAATGATATATTATGGAATCTCAGAAATGCAGCACTTCACTAGCTTTCTGTGTGACTGTCACAACCGGAATGATGCTTGACGGCTTTGCGCGGCTTGTGCCGGCGGCATTGGCGGGAGAACAATCGGTCAATTTCAGGTGGCCCGATTAAGCGGGAAGGATATGGAAAAGCACATAAGTACGAATTAAAAGCAAAGCAATCTACTATCGAAGAAAAGAAAAAGAGACTGGCAAAAAGAAAAGTAGGAATAGCCAATGGCCAACCGGAAAAAAAACTAAAAACGAAAAATGCTTCGTATGGTTCAGATGACGTAGTGGTAGAAGTAGTAGGGGATGCGTGGCTTTGTGTTATATGTAACGAGTGTCGAGTAGAAAATATGACACAGTGCAAGCTTTAGGTCCATGAACTTTGTGCGAGTTATGAAGGAAGTTCTTCGTACTTTTGTGACAGTTGTTCCTAAATAACACATCTAGTTATTATTGTTTGTCCTGTTTCGTTTTTTTTAATACCCATCTTACACACAAGCATATTAAAATTTGTATTCTTGTTTAACGTTATGCTACCATACTTAAGTGGTACGATATAGCAGATCAGTACGATTTAGGAAACCTAGTGGTACGATTTTGGCATCTGGTTTCCCAAGTCGTACCATTTGCAATGTTTATAAAAAATGTATTTTTCTCTTAAATTAGATAAGTAGCCATAACAAAAGAAAGTAGAAATATGTAAAAATCATTTAGTTAAATATTTAAAATAAAAGGAGCCCCTTAATATTGAAAATGTTAGCTTATTATACATTTTTCCGAAAAATGGTACGATTTAGGCGACTTTCCCCTAAGGCTTAGTGAAACTGCTTACTTACATTCTCAAGTTTTTATCTGCTGCCAGAACCTTTGGGTCCTTGACAACGCACAATCTTGCAAATGTCGAAACCCTTCCCATTGAGTTTTCAGCTTCACATATGAACCTGCCAGAATCAATGTCTTGCAAATTACCGATTATTAATGAGCAAATTCCGTTGTCTTGAGCGATAGAGTAGCGTGTGTCATCTTCAGTATAAATTTCAGTAGAATCTTTAAGCCACCTTATCATTGGGACTGGATCACCTTTAACCTACAAATGGAAGTAAATCATTGACAACATATCTACTCTTTTTTTATCCATACGTAAAACTAGTTAATGCAACATTTGCCGGATAGTAAAACATAGAGATCTATATTACGTCTTAGTTAACATACTCCAAACCAAAGACTATAAGTACTTCCTTGCCACGAAAAATACAAACAGGGTGTTTCAGAAAGGTATGATACTACTTCTAGGATAGAAATTACATCAAAAATTACCAAAAAATCCTATGAATATGTGTCCAAAGATTCTCCCCTACCGAGATAGGTACAGGGTGATGAAGTTTTATTTGCAAAACTGAAAAAAATTATATTGACAGAGAACAGAAGTGCATTTTATAAAATACTATTTAATTTTCCATACATTTTTTCTTGAACAATTTTTGTCAGGTCACTCGTTTTGAAGATATTTAGGTTTGAATATTTGAGGTAAAAACCAAAAATAATCTTGTGGAATAGTTTAGCCTAGTTCTGGAAGCACCGTGAAGCAGGATATTGGAATCACTATCTGGCAGGTGAAGAAAGCTATGGTACCTCATTTCAACAATAGTTGTCTGTCGCCATGTTAGATTCTTCTGTTTGTCTAAAATCACAACTAGTAATTGTTTTTCTCAAAATTCTTTATCATTTTGGATTAAGTGAGGTCAACAAGAAATATACCACAAATCATTAGCAACCTCGGCCATGAATTATGAGAACGAAGTATACAGAAGGCTCTTTCGACACTGTTCGTACTACGCCAGGTATTTTCCAAAGCGTCTTTGTGGCGTAAAACACAGGCTTGTGTTGAATCCAGAGGTAGTCTTTTTCAACACCTCGTTTCGGTTGGATTTTATAGCATTTATTCAGCATTATTTTTTGTTCTTCATGTTGTGTAAATTCAGAAATAGCCACGTAAGTTGTATCAAATGTAATGTCTATTGTTGTGGTGTTTAATTCTCAAAGATAAATATGCCGACAAAACCAGTGCCGAGGACAGGAAAGGTTTTATGAATGGTAAGCTTCTACGCTACTGATTGAGGATAAGAGTCGGATATTGTTCAATTATATAAATATTGGCACATATTTCTGAAACACCCTGTATGCACATTTTAAAGAATTTCTCCTTAATTTGCACAAACGTGTTCTAGCGTCTCATTTTTTGATGCTCTAAATATAACATACCTGACAGACTAGTGCAACTGAATCCCCAACAAGCGCCTTCATCTGGCCTGGAAGTATTTTCGTGAACTCCGGCAATGCCGCATGCCTCCCCACCATTACCACTCCGCTTTGCAACGCCTCTCCCCACCCATATCTGTTCCTGGGCGTCACCCTAAACTGGTATTCACCGCCTGGCTTCAAGTCGAAAGCATCGAAGCAATTGGTCGCCGTAATTCCAAGTTCCGCCCATCGGGTGTTAAGCCACGCCTCCACGCGGTATGCTAGTACAGGGGATGCGCCACGGTGTTCAGGGCGGCCCCATGAGAGGCTCACCCAATTACGGCCGGTGTCAGTGACCACTGGGGGGCCGGGAATGGCGCCAGGAACATCTGAAACGGTAAGAAATTCAGTTGAAAATAATGTATAATAGGAATTAAGAAAATTTTCTGAAAAGCAACTCAAATATATTTCGTGGTGTTGTATGCTATTTTGATCTTCAAAATCAGAAATGGTACTGACATTTTGTATTGTTCTTCAATATAAATGGACGATTCATTTTTGCCGTAAAAAATAATAAAATCAAAAAGCTTTGCAGTCGGAGAAAGTAGCTATAAAAATTATAACATGTTACAGCAAATGCTTAAAATGAGAAATATACTTTTTCATATAACAGTGCTCGGAAATAGCTACTGTACTTAAGTTTGAAATGCCAAGATACTCGTTAAAGTGACAACAATTAATTAACAAAAGTGTGAGATTCTTTGCCAATCCCACAACAATGAAATTAAGATTTTTATTTTTAGAACAGGTTCTAACAATATATTTGGAAATACTTATTGAAATCTCGGTATTAGTTTATTGTAGATATTATGCGTTGAACAAAGAAGTTTTAAATGTTTGGTAATAAGAGAAATGACTTTTACAACATTGTGAAAAACGTTACCAGGTGAATATGATAACGATAATAATCAGAGAAGTATTAGAAAAAAAATAAAAATCTACTAGTGCTTATTAGATTTTTGACCTTTTGTGAGTCTCTCTGTTAAAAGGGATACCTTTATAGGAATAAGAAACATAAAAATCATATATTAACAAAAATTAATAAGATAGCACACAATAACCCGAAAAAGTAATTGGCTTATTTGGTATTTTTATAGATGTTCTTGTCAGCAAAACATTGTGGATGTAATTGTAAAATATTTGTGGAATACCTTGATGCTTAACAAGATACTCCAAGAATTCAGATATACAACATTCCCTGCTACACCATTTTTTCCGCAAAGCACTAAGGGAAAGTTCGCTCGAACTCCACGATTCTCCACTGGTATCAATAATTCTCATATTCCCAAATGACTTTCCAGAAACAGGCGACTGTTTTGAACGAGAATTTTTCGTATACTGATCTAATTTTAAAGTGAACTCAGTGTAGGAGCAGAAATACTGGCAAATGTACGGTGGAACTCTATTTATTACACAATCTGTTTCAGTTTGTTTTTATTCTGCCAGAAGTTGACTTACTCAATGCAACCATTGAAAATGTAAGCAATTTAAGATTCACTCAAAAGTTAGATGATAAATGAGCATGCATAATTAAGAATATATGAAAGTCCTGATAGACATTAGATACAACGTAAATACACCCATTTCACTGAGGTATCTAGATATACAGAGAAATCTATATACCACTGACGTCATAATGCGTACGAGAAAGAAGCGCGAGAAGCATTCAATAAGTATGTTAGAAAGAGATAGAAGCACCACGTTCCCTAGTAACCGGAGTGACAAGACCACGGTTGCAGCTGCGGCTTGCCGCGTTGCCATCGGTGCACCCTGTCTAATATACTAAGTGACATATATAAATCCGAACACCCAGTTTAAATGGTTTTATTTTAATAAAATTTTGTGTAAGTACTTAATGAAGCATAATAAGTAAATAATAAAAATTTCAAAATGATTGCACTGCTTTAAAGCCCTTTGACCTTTAATAATGTGTGGATGCACCCTGATGTGCTACGCATTCTTCAACGCGCCTAGGCACGCTTCTGATTAGGTGGTCAATGTCCTCCTGTGGTATCTCATTCCAGACAACCACCAACTCCTCTCGAAGTGCTTCTAGAGTCTGAGGAGGACGTTGCAACTTGAGCAATCTCCTACCCATTATATCCCACACGTGCTCAATTGGGGATAAGTCGGGAGATCTTGGTGCCCATGGTAACAATGTGCCATCATTATGTTGAAAGAAGTCTATTGTGACTCTTGCAACATGTGGTCGGGCATTATCTTGTTGGAAAGTTGGACCTGCCAGGGTGTCAAGATAGGGTAAAAGATGGGGTTCTAGAACTTCGTGGATATAACGCTGCGCTTTCATGTTACCTCTGATGAAGATTAAAGGTGACCTGGAACCATAAGCTATAGCACCCCAAACCATAACTCCAACAGTGTGATGAACATGTCTTTCAACAAAAAACTGTGGATTCCTCCTTTCACCACGTCGCCTTCTAACCCTGGCACGACCATCGTGCAGGCCTAAACAAAATCGAGACTCGTCACTAAAGACAATACTGTTCCATTCCTGATCCCAGAGTGACCGTTGTCTGCACCACTCAAGGCGATTACGTCGGTGTTCTCGAGTTAAAGGGGAGGACCCAGTGTGGCCGGTATGAAAACAAGCCAAAACTTCTCATTCGTCGGTAAACACTTCGCATGCCAATAGGTCTTCCGTGTTCTGCAAACCATTCATTTGCAATGGACCTGGTAGTGGACAAACGGTCCCTTAAGGCCAATAATCTTAGGCGGCGATCTTCACGGTCTGTTGTTCTACGGCGGCGTCCAGTGCCGCTTGCTCTTTGCGTACGGCCTTCTTGAAGCCATGCCTGACAACACCTAACCACAGTGTCTACACTTCTTTGCACTCTAACTGCAATTGCCCGAAAAGAAAGTCCAGCTTCCCGAAGTCCCACTATACGGCCCCTATCAAACTCACTAAGTTGACGAAATCGTACAGGTCTCCGTACTCTAGGCATCGTAACCGATCGTAAAGGATGTCAAGAACCAAAATCCGCCAACGTTGATTCTTTACTGCGGCTGAATTATTCATTTTTAGTGCGTTAGTGAATTAAAAAAAAAGCAGTATAAAAACCGGAATGTCCAACTGATAAGGCTGAAAATTTTTTCACTTGTTATTTACAGTAAGATAAATACATTCACCAACTTTTATTAAAATAAAACCATTTAATCTGGGTGTTCGGATTTATATGTCACTTAGTATATAAGTATTGCACGCTTCTCCCGCTTCTCTTAAGTACACATTACCTCATCAGTGGTGTTTGAATTTCTTGGTATGTGGATACAGATTAGCTGAAAAGTATCTAGATGCTTCATAAAGTATTTATTTCTTCTTATGAAAAAAGATGTACCCACCTGTACGTTGTTGTCTTTGTCGATATGAAGGGATGTCAGAAAGTATCTCTTCTACAGATCTGGTAGAAGTAGGTGTGAGCGACCTGGCTCTATGTCTCAATCGCACTGTAAAGAAGGCTCGATCACATCCATGTCGATTCTTAGCCAGGATGCAGTACGTTCCAGCATCATCTTCAGTAGCTCTCTTCAAGGTAAATCTTTGGTAATCGTCAGATACAAACTTCATGGATCGCATACTGTTGGTTATGTCTTTCAGGCCCTTCATCCAAATCACTAGAAAATGGAGAGTTCAAATCACGCTAGATTGAATCTAGAGACGGTTTTGTATATGATTTTTGCCATGCACTTTTCCATATTATTTCTCAGCTAAGAAATGATAAGTATATAAAAGAATAAACCACTACCTACCTGTAGGTCTTGGATCGCCTGTGACTCTGAATGAGACACTAATATCTTCTCCAGTAGCCATGTTGAGGATCTTTTCAGGCCTATGCAAGAACATCGGAGGTTTCCCACCTCTGACCGAAGAAGGATGGACAACCTGAACATATGCAGATGTCTCTACCTTTCCATGCATGTTGCTTGCTCTACATGTGTACTTCCCAGCTTCATATTCTGAGATGCTAGGTATTAGCAACGTATGGACACCTCTTTCTGTGAAGGTACGGTGTTTTGGACATGCCCTGGGCAGCATCAAGCTTTCTTTGAACCATGTAACCTCTGCTGGACTGCCTTTTACTTCTACTTGAAGAGCCATACTGCCTCCAGTTGGTACGGAAGTGTCCGTCAGTACGCTGGAAAAGTATGGTCTCACAGAAGTAGTAACTCTATAACTCTTGCTCCTTTGCTCAGTTCTAGTCCGAATATGCTCTTCTTTGTTAGAAAATCTAACGTCATGGGACACTTGGTCGCTCCAAGAATTACTCTCAACCTTGCAAGTGTACCTGCCACTATCGCTATCCTCGGGACTCTTTATGAACAGTTTGCAAATTCCATCAGCTGAGTAACTATGAGAGTGCCGAAGTCCTGTTCCTAGTTCTTCTCCATCTTTGAACCAGCGTATCGTCGGCGTAGGTTGGCTCCTGATCTTGCATTCCAGAGTGAGTTCATCATTAGAGATACGATAATGTTCTCTAATTGGTCTCGTGAATACAGGCGGAGTACGTGTTGGATCAAAACATTTGACAACTGTCAGACTTGCTGAACTGATGCTCACTCCATGCTCGTTTCTAGCTAGACAAGAGTACTCAGCAGAGTCTGTCAGCGTTGTGTTTAAAATCTCCAAAGTAGCTACGTTATTTGAGTACACCATATAATACTTGGTTTCATCGTGTATTGGCTCTTTATTCTTCATCCACTGAATGTCTACTGGACCCTCAGATATGACGCTGCAAGTCATTTTTATTCTACAACCGACTGTGGCTGTTCGACTAGTCAAATCTGTGGTGAACAATGGTTTCTTTTCTGCAAGCCGTGGTCCATGGTATGACAATGGCTTGTAAATATCGAGGCCCATGTCGTATATCTTTCTGGTGGTGTCTCTAACTCTGACTCTGTCAGCTTCAGAAAGAGACTCTGAGCTCATGCTGTCGTCGCGATGTCCATTGTATGTTTCGCGTAGTTCAACTGATTTGGTCTCTTTCTCATGACTGACTTTAATTTCAGAAACCTCTTGAGTCATGATTTTGGATGCCTCTGACTTCTTCCTGCCAACTTTATCAACAGATCGTTTTCTAAAGTGTTCTATTTCCTTCTTACCTTCGATTACGTCTTTCTCCTTCGAACTATCTGACTTTTCCGTTGGTTCAACTTCTAATCCCTTCTTTTCTTTCTCCTTTTTGATCGCATCGTTTTTCTTTTCAGTTTCCTCTTTAAATTTATTTTCATGTTTGGCTTTTGTCTCAGATTCATCCTTTTCTTTGTCCATTTTGGCCTCCTTTTCCTCCCTTTCCTTCCCGACTTCTTCTCCTAATGTCATTTCTGCCTCGTCCTCCTCCTCCTTTTTGGGCCATTCTTTCTTTTGCTTTTCATCTTCTCTTGTGCTCAGCTCTAATCCTCTTTTAACCTTTCCTTTGGCTTCATCCTTTTCTTCTTCCGTTTTCGCATCACCTCCCTTCCTCTTGTTTTCGACCTTATCTCTTGTTTTTGATTCTGCTCCTTCTTTCAACTCTTTCTCCAATTCCTTTTTAGCCTTCTTCTCAGCTTCCACTTTACCTTTCTTCTTTTTGACCTCCCCTTTATTTATATTTTTGGCTTCATCCCTTGCTGTTTGTTCTGCTTCTTCTTTCATTTTACTTTCAGACTCCTCTTTAGTCTTCCAATCAGCTTCTTCCTCTTTCTTCTCTTTGGTCTCTTCCTTCTTTTTATTTCCATGTTCATCCTCTGTTTTTGTTGCTGCTTGATCTTTCATTTTCCTTTCCGATTCCTCTTTAGCCTCTCTTTCGGCTTCTGCTTTTCCTTTCTTCTTTTTGACCTCCTCCTTCTTGTTCTTTTCGGCTTCATCCTTTGCTTTTTGTTCTGCTTCTTCTTTCATTTGCCTGTCCGATTTCTCTTTAGCCTTCCTCTCAGCTTCTTCTTTTTCTTTCTTCTTTTTGGCATCTTCTTTCTTTTTCTTTTCAGCTTCTTCCTTTGCTTTTTGTTCTGCTTGTTCTTTCAATTCTCTTTCTAATTCCTCTTTAGCCTTCCTTTCAGCTTCTTCTTTTTCTTTGTTCTTCTTTTCCTGTTCGGCTTCATCCTTTGCTTGTTGTTCTGCTTCTTCTTTCATTTTCCTGTCCGATTCCTCTTTAGCCTTCCTCTCAGCTTCTTCTTTTTCTTTTTTCTTTTTGGCCTCTTCTTTCTTTTTCTTTTCAGCTTCATCCTTTGCTTTTTGTTTTGCTTCTTCTTTCATTTTTCGGTCCGATTCTTCTTTAGCTGTCCTCTCAGCGTCTTCTTTTTCTTTCTTCCTTTTGGCCTCTTCTTTCTTTTTCTTATCAGCTTCATCCTTTGCTTTTTGTTCTGCTTGTTCTTTAATTTCCCTTTCCGATTCCTCTTTAGCCTTCCTTTCAGCTTCTTCTTCTTCTTTGTTCTTTTTCAACTCCTCCTCTTTTTTTTGCGTTTCGGCTTCATCCTTTGCTTTTTGTTCTACTTCTTCTTTCATTTTCCTGTCCGATTCCTCTTTAGCCTTCCTCTCAGCTTCTTCCTTTTCTTTTTTCTTTTTGGCCTCTTCTTTCTTTTTCTTTTCAGCTTCATCCTTTGCTTTTTGTTTTGCTTCTTCTTTCATTTTTCGGTCCGATTCTTCTTTAGCTGTCCTCTCAGCGTCTTCTTTTTCTTTCTTCCTTTTGGCCTCTTCTTTCTTTTTCTTATCAGCTTCGTCCTTTGCTTTTTGTTCTGCTTGTTCTTTAATTTCCCTTTCCGATTCCTCTTTAGCCTTCCTTTCAGCTTCTTCTTCTTCTTTGTTCTTTTTCAACTCCTCCTCTTTTTTTTGCTTTTCGGCTTCATCCTTTGCTTTTTGTTCTACTTCTTCTTTCATTTTCCTGTCCGATTCCTCTTTAGCCTTCCTCTCAGCTTCTTCTTTTTCTTTTTTCTTTTTGGCCTCTTGTTTCTTTTTCTTTTCAGCTTCATCCTTTGCTTTTTTTTCTGCTTGTTCTTTCATTGTCCTTTCCGATTCCTCTTTAGCCTTCCTTTCAGCTTCTTCTTTTTCTTTGTTCTTTTTGAACTCCTCCTCTTTCTTTTCCCTTTCGGCTTCATCCTTTGCTTTTTGTTCTGCTTCTTCTTTCATTTTCCTGTCCGATTCCTCTTTAGCCTTCCTCTCAGCTTTTTCTTTTTCTTTTATCTTTTTGGCCTCTTGTTTCTTTTTCTTTTCAGCTTCATCCTTTGCTTTTTGTTCTGCTTGTTCTTTCATTGTCCTTTCCGATTCCTCTTTAGCCTTCCTTTCAGCTTCTTCTTTTTCTTTGTTCTTTTTGAACTCTTCCTCTTTCTTTTCCCTTTCGGCTTCATCCTTTGCTTTTTGTTCTGCTTCTTCTTGCATTTTCCGGTCCGATTCCTCTTTAGCCTTCCTCTCAGCTTCTTCTTTTCTTTTTTCTTTTTGGCCTCTTGTTTCTTTTTCTTTTCAGCTTCATCCTTTGCTTTTTGTTCTGCTTGTTCTTTCATTGTCCTTTCCGATTCCTCTTTAGCCTTCCTTTCAGTTTCTTCTTTTTCCTTGTTCTTTTTGAACTGCTCCTCTTTCTTTTCCTTTTCGGCTTCATCCTTTGCGTTTTGTTCTGCTTCTTCTTTCATTTGCCTCTCCAATTCCTCCTTAGCCTTCCTCTCAGCTTCTCCTTTTTCTTTTTTCTGTTTGGCCTCCTGTTTCTTTTTCTTTTCAGCTTCATCCTTTGCTTTTTGTTCTGCCTGTTCTTTCATTGTCCTTTCCGATTCATCTTTTGCCTTCCTTTCAATTTCTTCTTTTTCTTTGTTCTTTTTGAACTCCTCCTCCTTCTTTTCCTTTTCGGTTTCATCCTTTACATTTTGTTCTGCTTCTTCTTTCATTTTTCTTTCTGATTCTTCTTTAACCTTCCGCTCAGCTTCTTCTTTTTCTTTCTCCCTTTTAGACTCCCCCTCTTTCTTTTTCTTTTCAAGTTCATAATTTGCAATTTGTTCTGCTTCTTCCTTCATTTTCCTTTCCGATTCCTCTTTAGCCTTGCTCTCAGCTTCTTCTTTGTCTTTCTTCTTTTTGGCTTCCTCTTTCTTTTTCTTTTCGGCTTCTTCCGTTGCTTTTTGTTCTGCTTCTTCTTTCAACTTTCTTACCGATTCCTCTTTAGCCTCCCTCTCAGCATCTTCCTTTTCCTTCTCCTTTTTGGCCGGCTCTTCTTTCTTTTTCTTTTCGGCATATTTTGCTTTTTGTTCTGCTTCTTTCAACTTTCTTTCAGACTCTTCTATTGCTTTCTTTTCTGCTTCCTCCTTTTCTGCTTTTTTCAATGCATCAACTTCCTTCTTTTTATTTTCGGCTACAATCTTTACCTTTTGCTCTACTTCTTCTTTCAACTTTCTTTCTGATTCTTCTTTAGCTTTCTTCTCGATTTCCTCCTCTCCTTTCTTCTTTTTTGCTTCCTCGTCTATATTTTTCTTTTCGGCTTCTTCCTTGTCTTCCTGTTCTAGTTCTAAGTTTTCGATTTCCTTTTCAGTCGCATCTATGAGTGCAGAAATGTCTTCGTACAAGACACCAAGAGACATATTTAAGTTGCCGACTGATTTCATATCAGCAAATAAACTCTTGGTGCTTTGAATACTTTGATTCAGGTTACTCAAAACATACAAGACATTGTTTTTGTTATCTTTATAATTTTCCGCGTTGATTTGTTCAATAGCGGAAGACAAGTTTTTGAAATTTCTCGCTAAAATAAGATTGTTGGTTACGTTCTCTGGAAAGTCATCTGGTTTTTCTGAAATTATGTATCTTTGGTCATCCAATATACTTTCTTCAACAGCACTGAAACTTGTAGATAACCTTTTTATTGGACTAACAGCCTTTTGTAGCACCATTTTTATATCTTTCACTTCATTTGATAACCCAGACAAAAACATCATATCTTTTCTTTTCTGTATCGCTTTGTTCTCCAAAATGCTGATTAAATCACGTACTGCATCTTCGAAGAGTTTTGTTGCCTGCGATAAAATTTCAATTTTATCGTTAAGTTTCACACTTTCAGACACTTCATTTAGAGCATCATTTATACTATGTAACATCAAGCACAACTCCTTTTCGTACAGTGGAATATCCTTCAGCGTATTTGTCTCTTTGCAAACATCGTCAACAAAAATGTTCAACATGGCAAATGTATCGGATAAGTTGTTGATTTTACTGACATAATCAGCTGAAAAATCGCTAGTGTTATCACTGATCTCTTTGGCAAGAACAGTATTATCTATGAGTTGGTTTACAGGTGATTGTATTTTATCCAAAAGCAAAATATTATCCTGGTTCATAACTATAAAGTCTTTTTTCTTTGACTGCAACGTGGATAGAGAAGTTTTCAAGTTACTTAATGAATCCTGAAGACTAGCAAGAGACTTGGAATCTAACCTTTCTTTATTGCATTCTTCTATTATCTCACAAACGGCGTTTTCTACGTCTTTCATTGGCTTTGCTATCTTCAGCTTGTGGAAAACCCCTTCAGAGTCTATACGTTGCAGAAATTCCCTAACGATTTGCATATCGCTACAAAGCACAGGCAGCTCCAATATAGTCAACTTTTCACTGCTCATAACTGATTTTATGGTCTTGATAGCGTTCTCTATTTTTCTCATAGAGCTCTTAAGTGACTGAGCTGTATCTTTTACTAGTTTAGACATCTCATCCGATGTAGAAATGTCTTTCTCCAAAGTTAGCAAGACTTCTGAAACTGGCTGATCTAACTTGACTATTGTAAGCACTGCGTTGTGAACTGCTGCAGGCAGTATTGCCAAATCAGCATGTAGTGCATCTAATTCTTTTTTCACTAATAAGATAGGCTCCAGCACTGAAGACGCAAGTTTTTGATGTTCTATCTGTACTATAGATACCAACTTATCCTTTACTAGTGAAAGTTGTTCTATTAAAGATTGCAATGGTATTACCAACTCTTCAACTGTCCTGCTTTGAATGGGTTGTAACAAAACTGGTTGGAATTTGTCTTGTAGTCTTGAGACTGTTTTAAGGAAGCTAGCGTAATCTTCAGAAGGTACATCCTTCTCTAGTCGAGAATTTATCTTCACAAACTCTATGAGCATATCCTCGAGCGGTGGTACAGAATTTTCTAACTGAGACAGAAATAGGGATGGAATGTCTTCGGGCGTTTTTAAAACTCGGTTCTCCATTTTTGCTAAAACAGCTCCTAGTTCATCTAGAGGAGATTTGAGAGAGCATATTATCAAGTCATTTTCAGACAGTTTGTCGATATTCAAATTCATTATTTTCATTTCTTCTTGTAGTTGTGCAACTGGTAACTTCAACTGCCTCATGACGTTAAGAGCATCATTTGCAACTACTTTTACTGATTTAACGGCCACTTGAGCTTGGATATGTTCCAGAACAGAGCTGAGAGATGTCAAGTCTAAATCAAGACTTTGCAGAGATTGCATCTGTGGCAAAACTTCGATAAGTCCTTGTAATTCTTCATTCAAGACTATTGCTGATTCTGAAACTTTTGGCTTCAGCTGATTCAGCTGTGTTGTACTATTAGCTACATTAATGATCTCTTGAATAACCAATTGAAACGTTTGCAATGGATTTACCAAATTTCTTACAATCGTGGCTTGTTCTTCTGTGATATCTTTTACTGAATCATCACATACTTTTTCAAGCTTCAAGATACTTGAGGAAAGATTATGTAATGGTTCCCGAACATCAATTACAAAAAAGGTTGCATCTTGTGCCACCGATTTAGTTTTAGAGTGAAGTTTAGTAATTTCTATTTTTAAATTCTCTATAGGAATGATGAGTTGTTTAAGTGATTCAATATCATTCCTTGGCTGAGGTGTACCTAATCCTTCTTCAACACGTGATATAGCTGCTCTCATGTCATCTATAGCAACGGATAACACTTGCAAGGATTTCATTTGTGGTATCTCCAAAGAAACTTTTTGAAGTTGTTCTTTTAGAGCTCCAACAGCTTTCATCACTTTTGGCTTCTCTAATTCTAGTTTCTGAGGTTTAGAGAGAGAACTACTGATGTCAGTAACTGAAGCTGAGAGTTTTTGTAGTGGTTCCTTCAAAGAGGATACTATTTCGTGCTGTTCTGGCGTAATATCAGCAGACCGCTCATCAAGCGCAACTTCCAATTTTTGTATCGAGGCAGACATTTCGGAGAGAGGTTTTGCTACTTCTACAACAGAGAGAACGCCTTGCTGAGTTGGAACTCCAAGTTCTTGTGACTTAATCTGCATTTGTTTGATATTTTCTTGTAATTTGGACACTGGTTCAGCAATTTCTTTAATAGCGTTGATGTCTCTTCGATGAGCTTTTTCCCCAACTTTTCTCAAAGCTTCTTCTACGTGCTCAACTGCAGCTTTCATGGCATCAAGGGGGATGGACAGGGTTTGTAACGTAGCCATTTGTGGTATGACCACAGCTACTTTCTCGATTTTCTCTTTCAAAGCAGACACAGCTTGCTGCATCTTTGGTTTTTCCACTTCAAGCTTCTGAGATTTGGCCAAAGAATTCGTAACATAAACAATTGAAGCTGAGAGTTTTTGCAGTGGTTCTTTCAAGCAAGACACTGTTTCTTGTTGATCTGGTGTAATATCAGCGGACGACTCGTCCAGCGCAAGTTCCAATTTTTGTATCGAGGCAGACATTTCAGAGAGAGGTTTTGCTACTTCTAAAACAGAGAGAACGCCTTGCTGAGTGGGAACTCCAAGTTCTTGTGACTTAAGCTGCATTTGCTTGATATTTTCTTGCAACTTGAACACTGGCTCAGCAATTTCTTTAATAGCGTTGATGTCTCTTCGTGGAGCGTTTTCCTCAACTTTTCTCAAAGCTTCTTCTACGTGTTCAATTGCAGCTTTCATGGCATCAAGGGGGATGGACAGGGTATGTAGCGTAGCCATTTGTGGTATGGCCACTGCAACTTTCTCGATTTTCTCTTTCAAAGCAGACACAGCTTGCTGCATCTTTGGTTTTTCCACTTCAAGCTTCTGAGATGTGACCAACGAATTCGTAACATCAACAATTGAAGCTGAGAGTTTTTGCAGTGGTTCTTTCAAGCAAGACACTGTTTCATGTTGATCTGGTGTAATATCAGCAGACGATTCGTCCAGCGCAACTTCCAATTTTTCTATCGAGGCAGACATTTCAGATAGAGGTTTTGCTACTTCTAGAACAGAAAGAATACCTTGCTGAGTGGCAACTCCAAGTTCTTGTGACTTAAGCTGCATTTGCTTGATGTTTTCTTGCAATTTGGACACTGGTTCAGCAATTTCTTTAATAGCGTTGATGTCTCTTCGTGTAGCTTTTTCCTCAGCTTCTCTCAAAGCTTCTTCTACGTGCTCAATCGCAGCTTTCATGGCATCAAGAGGCACGGACAGGGTTTGTAACGTAGCCATTTGTGGCATGGCCATAGCTACTTTCTCGATTTTCTTTTTCAAAGCAGACACAGCTTGCTGCATCTTTGGTTTTTCCACTTCAAGCTTCTGAGACTTGACCAACGAATTCGTAACATCAACAATTGAAGCTGAGAGTTTTTGCAGTGGTTCTTTCAAAGAAGACACTGTCTCTTGTTGATCTGGTGTTATATCAGCGGACGACTCGTCCAGCGCAAGTTCCAATTTTTGTATCGAGGCAGACATTTCAGAGAGAGGTTTTGCTACTTCTAAAATAGAAAGTACACCTTGTTGAGGAGCAACTCTATGTTCCTGCACCTTTATCTGCATTTGCTTAATATTTTCTTGTAATTTAGATACTGGTTCAGCAATTTCTTTGATAGCTTTGATGTCTCTTCCTGGTGGCTTTTCTTCAGATTTCCCCAAAGCGTCTTCTACGTGTTCGATTGCTGTTTTCATATCATTTAAAGGGACATATAGTGCTTGAATCTTCGGAATATCGGCAGTTACCTTTTCGATTTGTTCTTTCAATGCCACCGCAGCTTTTTTCATTTTTGGCCTCACCACATCTAGTTCTTTGAAATTGCTAATCATTGTTGTACTTTCTACTATAACAGCTGTCAGATTTTCCAGAGGTTCTTTTAAATTTCTGAGACATTCTTGTTGTTCTGAAGTAACGTCAATAGTTGATTTATCGCATCCAGCTTCGACTATTTGAATCGAGTTGCAAAGATCAGCAAGAGGCTTATCAACTTCTACAACTGATAGAACACCTTGTTGGAGTTTCACACCAAGAACTTGAGATTCCGCCTGCATCCGAACAATCGCTTCTTTAAGCTTGATAACAGGTTCTTTAATTTCTTTTACTGCCACAAAAATTTTTCTAGGCTTCTGCTCACCAGTTTCCTCTAAAGCTTCTTCAACTTGTTCAATAGCAGTTTTGATAGCTGCCAAAGGCGCGGATAATACGATGAAATTCTTCATTTGAGGAATGTCTGCGGCAACTTTTTCGATATGTTCCTTCAACGCAACTGCAGCTTTCTTCATTTTAGGTTTTTCCAGCTCTAGCTCCTCTGGCTTTGATAGCAATTTTGTGCTTTCGACAACGGTAGCCGCCAGTTTTTCAAGTGGATTTTTAAGAGCAACGAGGCTTTCTTGATGTTCAAGTGCAATATCAACAACAGCCTCATTACATGAAGCTTCTAATTTTTTTATTGTTTCAGCCATTTCAGATAACGGTTGAGCTACTTCTACAATAAAAAGAACGCCTTGCTGAGTCAAAGCAAGTTCCTCAGACTTGCATTGCATTTGGGTCAAGTTTTCTTTAAGCTTTACAACAGGTTCTGTGATTTCTTTGATAACTTTAAGGTCTCTTCTCTCTTCTTCTACTTGGTTTAACGTTTCTTCTACATAGTTTATGGTTGCTTCAAAAGTTTTCAGAGGCACTGATATTATTTCTAGACTTTTCATGTGTGGAATGTCTGAAGAAACTTTTTCAATTTGCATTTTTAAGGCAGCAATTGCCATCTTCATTTTAGGTATCTCCAACTCTAACCGTTGTGGTTGACTAAGTACCTCCATGATTTCTATAACTGATGCATCTAGTTTTTCTAATGGTTCTTTTAGAGACTGTACGTTTTGTTGTTGTCTTATGCTTATGTCAGTACATGATTCATTTATAGTGCTTTTCAGCTCTTCTATTGAAACTGAAAATTCAGCTAAAGGCATAGCAACCTCCAATACAGATAACACACCCTTCTGAGGAGTTACTGTCAGTTCTTCAGACTTAACCCGCATCCTGTTTATATTTTCTTGCAACTTAGCAACGGGTCCAAGGATTTCTTGGATAGCGTGGACATCATTTCTTATCTTCTTTATCTCATCTGATTGTTCTAACACTTCTTCTACGTGTTCCAAAGCACCCTTCATTATTTCTAGAGAAACTGACAGAGTCTGTAGAGTTAGAGGTATTTCAGAAATTATTTGTTGAACATGTCCTTTCAACGCATTAATAGCTTGTTTCATTTTAGGTTTTAGTATAATTAATTCGTTAGGCCTTGACAGCAATGGTGCACATTGAGCAATGATTGAATCGAGTTTTTGTAGTGGTTCTTTTAGAGACGATATATTTTCCTGCTGCTCTATGCTTATATCGGGTATCGACTCGTCACAAGTAGCTTCCAGTAATTCTAGTGCAGCGTATATTTCGTTCAAAGGCTTTGAAGTTTCAATAACGGAAAGTACACCTTGTTGGGGCGTTAAGCCTAACTGTTCTGAAATGATTTTCAGCTGAGATATGTTTGTTTGAAGCTGGGAAACAGGCTCTACAATGTTTTTGATAGCTATAAGATCTTTTCTCGGTTCTCCTTTCTCCAAAGATTTCTTCATTCGATCCAAGACACCTTGGAGATCTACTAAAGGCATATGGATCGTTTGAAGGGAATGTGACTGCAGAACAACTTGGATGACATTTTGTATATGATCTTTCAGATCACTGCCAGTTTCAACTATTTCTGGTATCACTTCATCCAGTTTATCCGCAGAGATACTTCTTTGTATTTTATCTATAACAGATATCAAGCTTAACAGAGGTTGTACTAAGGTTGCGACAACTTCTGCTTGCTGTAAGGTAATGTCTTGCACAGATTCGTCACAAACTTTCTTCAAAAAGTCGATTGCAGTTAACATTTCTGAAATCGGTGCTTCAGCTTCAACGATATGTTGCACCACTTCTCGTTCTTTATTATTTGAATGAATTTTTAGCAGTTTTTCTCTAAGATGTTTTGCAGGACTAACAATTACTTCCAATACTTCGATATCCTTCCGTTGTTGTTTTTCCTGCGTTGCTTCATTAGATTCTTCTACTTTGGTCTCTTGCTTTACTTCTTTTGCTTTTCCTTGTTCAGGTTTTACACTTTCTGGTTCTGCTTTTTCAAGGTTTTCTTCTTGGTCTGTCACATCTTTTGGCTTCTCCTCTAAAAATTCTTCGATATGCTCAATCGCCGCATTGAGTAACTGTAAAGGCTGATCGATGGCTTCTAAGGCTCGTGCCATTGAAACTGTTCGACTCACAATCTTTATCTGTTGTTTAAGATCTGATAATGTACATTTCATCTTGGTCTTTAGCAACTCCAACTCGTGTGGCTTATCTGCTAGTTGCACAGTTTCAATGATAACCGTTTCTAATCTTTGCAATGGCTCTTTCAGTGATGTTAATGTTTGATACTCTGTTGGTGAAATGTCTTTTGTAGCAACGACACGACTACTTTGTGCATTTTGTATAGCAGATGCTAGTTCTGTCAGTGGTGGTTCGATTTCTATCACAGACAAAACGCCTTGCAGTGGTAGAAGCATTGTATCTATACGTGTTTGTAACGTTTGCACTTGTTGTTTTAATTGTAAAATAGGTTGTGCCAAGTCCTGCATTGCCCTTGTATCGTTTCGAAGTGATTTATCTGAAGAAGCTTCTTCAATTTGGCTGAGGATTGCTTTAAATTTATTCAAAGGTAGTTCAAGAACTCTTAGTGACTCTGCTTTAGAAATTATTTGAAAAACAAGCTCGGCGCGCGCTTTGACAGCAATAACTGCTTGTTTCATTACCTCCTTTTTATCTTCTAGTTCTTTAGGGTTATGAACAACTGCTGTGGTATCTACGACAACAGCTGTCAACTTCTGCACTGATTCTTCCAATGACATGAATACTTGTGCTTGTTCAGGTGTAATGCCAGCTATATTATCAGCGATACCATCAAGACTTTGCATAGCAGTGGTTAATTCTGCTAGAGGTTCTGCAATCTCAATAACTGATAAAACACCTTGTGTAGGTTGTGTAACGTTATCGATCTTGGATTGTAATGTCTTAACTTCTTGTGCTAACAGCGAAATGGGTTGAAGAAGTTCGTGTAGTGACTGTTTGTCTCTACGAACTGCCTTTTCCTGGCACGCTTCTTCCATATGTACAAGAGCAGCTGTTAAAGCTTGTATTGGCAATTCGAGAACTTTGAGTGACTGAGATTGAGTAGTAACCTTGCCTACCTTATTTACTTGAGATTTCATGGCAAGAACAGCTTGTTCCAAATCATATTTTTGTACTTCTAGTTCTTCGTGGTTGGCTGAGAGAGATGTGGCCTCTTTAACTACTGCTGCAAGTTTCTGCATTGGTTCTTCCAATGATTTCAGTACTTGTGCTTGTTCAGGCGTAATGTCAGCTACAGTTTCATCGATTTTATAAACACTTTGGATAGCAGTGGTTAGTTCTGCTAGAGGTGCCGCGATTTCAGAAACTGTTAGAACACCCTGTATAGGTTGTGGAACCTTATCAATGTGCGTTTGTAATCTTTTTACTTCTTGTGTCAGTATAGAGATAGATTGAGCAAGTTCTTGCAATGTCTGTTTGCCCTTACGAGGTACCTTCTCTTTACAAGCCTCTTCAACATGCCCAAAGGCAGCTGTTAAAGCTTGCAACGGTATTTCGAGGATTTTCAGTGATTGGGCCTGTGTCGCAACTTGGCTCGTTTTCTTTGCCTGCGATTTCATGGCAATAATGGCCTGCTTCATATCGGGTTTTTGTATTTCCATTTGTTCAGGATTGGTTAAGAGAGTTGTGGTTTCTGCCACTAGTTCAATCAATTTCTGCATTGGTTCCTTTAATGCAATCATCGCTTGAGATTGTTCAGTTGTAATATCCGCTACCGTGTCAGCAGTGTGATCAGCACTCTGGATAGCAGTGGATAGCTCTCCTAGAGGTGTTGCGATTTCAGTAACTGCTAGAACACCCTGTATAGGGTGTGCGGCCTCATCGATCATAGATTGTAATGTTTGTACTTCTTGCATTAGCAACGAAACGGGTTGAGCAAGATCTTGGAATGCCTGTTTGTCCTTACGAGGTACCGTCTCTTTACAAGCCTCTTCAACATGCCCAAGAGCAGCTGTTAAAGCTTGCAACGGTAGTTTGAGGATTTTTAGTGACTGAACCTGATCCACGACAACGCATATTTTTTCTAGTTGAGATTTTGTGGCAAGCACTGCTTGTTCCATTTCAGGTTTTTGCGCTTCCACATCTTCTGGTTTAGCTAGGACAGAAGAAGTCTTCGATATTAATGCTGTCAACTTCTGTACTGGTTCTACCAATGACTTTACTGTTTCTGATTGTTCAGGCGTGATGTCAGCTGCAGTTTCAGCCACGTTTTTGGTACTATGAATAGAATTGGTCAGTTCCTCTAGAGATGGTTCAATTTGAGTAACTGACAAAACACCTTGTATAGGTTGTGGAGCCCTATCAATCTTAGATTGTAATGTCTTTACTTGTTGTATTAGCACCGAAATAGGTTGTGCAATTTTTTCTAGAGCGCAAACATCGTTGCGTGGAACCTTCTCCGCACATGCTTCTTCAATATTACTTAAAGCTGCATTTAAAACTACCAACGGTGTCTGCAACGTTTTTAATGGCTGTACCTGCTTAACAATCTCTGTGAGTGCTTCAGTTTTTCCTTTCAATGCCAGCACCGCTTGCTGCATCTTCGACTTTTGCACTTCCAACTCTTTCGGTTTGCTTACAAGCGTGATACTATCAGCAATCACAGCTATCAGCTTTTCCATTGGTTCTTTCAGTGACGTCATAACTTTGGCCTGCTCTGGAGTAATGTCCTTCAATTCTTCGTCAACCATAATTTCCAAGCTCTGGATAGACGAAGTAAGTTCTGCTAGGGGAGCTGCTATTTCTACCACTGATAGAACTCCTTGTAAAGGCAATGCAAGTTGCTCGGTTTTCATTTGTAGCTGCGTTGCCTTATTTTCTAATATAGCAATGGGATGTGACAGTTCTTTCAATGCGGCTAAGTCATTTCTAGGTAATTTAGCGACAAACGGTTCTTCACTTTGTTCAAGTATGGCTATAAATGCGTTGAGTGGTGTTTGGATAGTTTTCAAAGACTTTGCTTGTTCTACTACTTGTAAAACTGCAATTGCTTGTTCTTTCAGTGCCATTATAGCCTGTTTGACTTTCGGTTTTTGCATTTCCAATTTTTTCGGTTTGGTGAGCATTGGACTTATTTCTATAACAACTGCCTCTAGCTTCCTTATACCTTCAGAGAGTGATACGAGCACTTGTGTTTGTTCTGGACTAATATCTTCTAAGGATTCAACAACATTGAGATCAATATCACTCATGATTGAACATAATTCAGATAGAGATGAAGCGATTGCAACAATTGATAGTACACCGTGAACTGGTTGCTTAGTTTCTTCAATTTTAGCTCGGAGTTGTTTTACTTGGCTTTCTAACAAATACAGTGGTTGAATGACCTCATTTATGGCCTGCAAATCATTTCTTGGAGGTCGCTCTTCCAAAGAAGCCTCAATTGCCTTTAAAACGTCACTTAGAGCCTCTACAGAAGATTGCAATGTTTGCAAAGAGATGGTTTGAGGTATCACTTGTATCACTTTAGTCAATTCTTCTTGCAGAGCTAAAAGAGCATCTTTAATATTTGGCTTTTGCAATTCAACTTCTTCGGGCTTACTCAGTACTTCCCTGCAAGTTGTGACAATAAATTTCAGTTTCTGTAATGGTTGTGCAAGTAGAGCTACAGTACCAGCTTGTTCTTCATCAATATCTGGGATGGATTCATCGCATATGCTCTCCAAAGTTTTAACAGAAGTAAGAATTTCAGTTAAAGGTGTAGAGATATTAACTATGGACAGAACACCTTGACTAGGTTTGACTTGCAGTTCTTCAATTTGTACTTGTGCTTTATCCAGCTCTTCTTGCAATTCTTTTATAGGTATCGAAATAGACTGTAAGACCTGGATATCTTTTCTTGGTTTTTGGTCTGTACAATTATGTTCAACACTGCTAATTACCGCTGTGAGTTCTCTAACTGGCTGATCGAGAACTATAAGCGATTCTGATTGAGAAACAACTTGCCGAATAGCTTCTAACTGCTCTATAACAGCATGTACGGCTTTTTTCACTTCTGGTTTATGTAGCTGTAGTTCCTTTGTAGAGTTAGCCACTGCAGTAACGTTCACAATAATGCCGGACAGTTTTTGTAATGGTATCACCAAATTTTCTACAGTCTTTGCTTGCTCGGGAGTTATGTCGTTAATGGTATGGTTGAGGGACTTTTCTATTTGTTTAATGCAAGCATTTACTTTATTTAAGGGATCAATTGCTTCGATAACAGACAACACTCCTTGTAATGTAGGTGGAAGTTGCTGAACATTGGCTTTTAACTCTCTGATCTCACTGGTAAGAGTTGCAATAGGCTCTGCAATAAGTTTGACTGCATTCAGATCTCTACGAGGTGCGATTTTCTTTACAACAGTTTCTTCTGTTCTTTGCTCTCCTTCGATCTCGGATATAACAGCTCTAAGTGACTCCAGTGGTATCATCCAAATTTGCACTGATTGAGGATGAGGCGCCTCAGCCAATACTTTATGAATTTCTTCTTTAAGAGCCAACACAGCATGTTCTACATTTGGCTTCTCAACTTCTGATACTTGTTTCTTAGTTGCTTCTTTGCTTTCGACCAAAACTGCTGTTAATTTTAGCATGCATTCTTTGACAGGCATCAACACTTGAAGCTGATCTGCTAAGTCATCAGAAGAACCTTTGTGTTCCTCTTCAACTTTTTCGATTGCGCTTTCCATCTCAGACAGGAATTTTTCAATATCGACAATGGACACCTGTGCTTGCTGCGGTTTTGGAAGCACGTCTGTTTTATAGTGCTCGACTTCGGTTTTCAAAGCAGCTACCACCACTGCCATTTCTTCTAGCGCCCTGTCCATACGTTTTTTCTCTAGAGATTTTTCTACCTCTCCAAATGTGGCTTTGAGAGCTTGTAAAGGATGTACCAATGTCTGCAAGAGCGTAGTTTCAGGCACGGCTTGTATAATTTTTTCAAGATGTTCTTTAACTGCAATTATGCCACGTTTTATTGCAGGCAATTTGAGCTGCAGCTTACCAGACTTATTTAAAAGAGTTCTGCTTTCAACTACTACTTTAGTGAGCTTTTGCAGTGGCTCCTCGATTGTTCTGCAAAGTTGTAACTCTTCCGCAGGTAGATCATGAGCACTCAATTCTGCGACATCTCCTAAACGATGGATAGCAGTTGACAGCTGTGACAGTGGTTCTACTAAATCAGTAATAGCTAGAATTCCCTGCTGAGGTTCAGTTGAATACACCTCTCGTAATTTTACAATCTCACCTTTCAAGGCCTCAATTGGTTGTATAACTTCTTTGACTGTTTCAACATTTTTCAGTGTAACTTTCTTTTCTACTTTTTCAGCAGTTTCAACTTGAGTCACTATCGAACTTAGAATCTGTTCTATGGTGATAGCCAATAGTTTGTTGGGCTCACAAACGTATTGCAGCATTACATTTTTAGAAGTACCATCGAGTGCTTTCGTTGTTTCGTCAAGGATATGCCTCAGGTCCTCGATAATTTTGGTTTTCATTTCTTCCTTATTTAAACCGTCTGATTGTAATGCAGTTACCATAGCTTCCAAATCAGTTGCAAGATTATTTATTAAACTTATTTCTTTCGCAAGTGTTTCAGTATCACTCACCATCAAAGGATTATCTGTACCTGCGGATATGACTTTAGCAGCATTTTCCAAAGTTTCCTGTAAAAATTGGATTGGCTCTTCCAGCGTAACAAATACCTTGGAATCTGCTAAATTCTTGGGTTCGACTTCCCTTAAAGAACCTATCACCAATTTTAGTCTTTCCACAGTTGTTCTGGCTTGGGTGACAAACTCCATATTTTTTGATTCCTCCATATTATTTTCAATATTCTCTATTTGTCCGACCAAAGATTTAAGCGGTTCTTCAAAATTGGCTATTTGAGCAAGTCTTGGCTCAGCCGTTAGTCGTTCAACAACTTGCATAATTGCGGACTTGGCACTTGCTAACGTAGCTTTTTCAACATCAGTAATAATTGGTCTTTGAAGTGATATTTGCGTCGACACGACAATACCTTTAAGCTTTTGCAAAGATACCTGTATGGTATTTAGACAAGCAACTTCCTCCGAGTCTGTCTTAAATTCTTCTATACCTTCTTCAATAGCCGACTGTGTCAAAGATTCCAAAGTATCATATAAGCTAAGGACAGATAAAACGCCCTCACTTGGCATTGGTGACACATCCAGAATCTTAGACTGTAATGCAATTATTTCTTCTTTAAGCTCAGTTACAGGCTGTTCTAAAATTTCTTTGGCATTAGTAGAAATTTCTTTATCTACTAATAGATCTGCTAAATTCTTGATGCTATCATTCATCTCATATATAGCAATCATGTCAAGATTATCTGGAGGTGTATTCAAACCTACGCTACAAGCCAGTTGAAGCTTCTTTAGAGGTTTTTGTATATCTATATCTTCCTTTATACTTCCCAGAGCTCTATCGGTGGCGTCTTTAAGTTTACTCAAATCCTCGATTATGTGTTCTAAGAGTTCTGACGGTTGAGATACAGTCTTGCCCTTCAGAACTGCACAAATATTTTGTAAAGGGCTCACAAAGTCTTGTAATACACGTCGGAATTTCTTGCAGCTCTTATGTCGCTTCTCAAACCTCTTACAGTTATCGCAAATTTTTTCTGCAGTTTTCTGCAGAGCTATTCTTCTAGATAGCATATTTTGCATTTGAATGATAGCTTTAGACAAACCTTCTAATGGTTTTAGAAGAATCTGCATCGCAGATTTTTCTTTTTCAACATTGCTCGTCAATATTGCTTTCATGCATATGCTTATCAGCTTGTTCTGTAGAGCATCTATAGTTTTTGACACATTTTTTATGTCTGTGACATTCTCTTCGGCGTACATCTTATTGAGATGATTTTGAATATCTACAAGTATTGCTTCATCTTCAGCCGAAACTGGTAAACTTTTACACGTATCTATTTCAGCTTGTAAATTTTGTAAAGCTGGAATGAGATTAGAGAGCAAGTCCATTTTTCCAGCTGAGACATGTTTGAATCTAATTAAAAAGTTGGTCAATTCAGAAACGCATCTTGAGAGGTCATCGAACTTTGACGATTCTGAAACAGGCTGTGGTTCTTCTTTAAAATGCAGCACGTCTAAAGATTCTTTTAGCTGCTCGAAATTCTCTGCGATATTTGACGAATCTTTACGTTCTTGTTCCAAAATGGCAATTTCTAAACTTTCACTCAGTTGGTCCAAAATTTCGCAAGACGGCTGATCAATATTTTCCGAGACTTTTGTCAATGATTGGATGACTTTTTCCAGACTATCAATTTCCTCAATGCCAATGTTTTCTTTCCCGCCTCCTTCGATGAACGATTTAATTGCTTGTACAGGTTTCAGTACATTTTCACATACAACTTGTTGCAAAGGTGGGCTCAGATTTGTCGAAAAACTCTCGACAGATTTCTTGAACTTATCCAAGGATTTGGATAGATCCGCACAGATTTTTTCCGCTTTTATAGCTTCCTCTGCTTTTATCAACGCAGCTCTGTCTAGCAATTTTCCTATACTTTTTGCGATATCATTTAATGGCTCCAAAAAGTCCTTGACTTTTGACTCTTGGTTTATACTTTCCAAAAGAGTTTTTACATTCTCTAAGTCTGCTTGTAACTGATCTAATTGCTGAGTGACAGGTTTAAGATATATTTGGTCGGTCAATTTGACAATCTCTTTAACCGTTTTATCTGTCATTTTTAGCAAATGTATATCGTCAGCCGAGAATTTCTCCTTCTTTTCCTCCAATACCGTTCCTGCTATGAATTGCATGGTCGTTATTGGTCTTTGCAGTTCGCTACCGAACGCTTTTTGAATTCTGTTGTCAGATTTTGATTCGATAGTTGAAACTGATTCTTGCAAGATTTGCAAAGAACTTTGCAAACCTTGTAATGGCTTGCAGACTATTTTCTCTGAGGGTTTCTCTGTACTAAAAATGTTGATGACGTTTTCTATCCACAATCTCGTTTTCTCGGCTAGTGGCAACGTTTTGTTTTCAGAAGACAGGTTCCTCAAGTGGTTATCCAGTTCTTGTAATTGTAGTTTTGGCTTCTTCAACGCCCCGACATCAGGTCCTTTGCTTAGGGTTTGAATACATGCATCTGCTTCTGCTATGCTCTTGTTGAATATATCAAACGTCTTGAAGTCTAAATCGTTAGCTAATTCTGCTTCATCGACAGTGCTTTCAAGATCTGAAAGTGCATCTTTGACTTTAGCTAATATAGCCAATTTGTCTTTTGCTAACTTTATCTTCCAAGCATCCAATGTCCCTTTGACATCTGTCAGTATCTCCCTAGCCTTTGTTTTTTCCTCAGTTCCTGCCGGAATGTTTTCCATGAGGTTTATTACGTTTTTGACAGTTTCTTCGAATGGTTCCATGACTTGCTTGATTTTAGAGTCACCTGGCACCGCAACTACAGCTAATCTTAGACTTTCAATTGCAGTCTTGACTGATTCGACCGTAGCATCACCAGGTTGTTCTTGTTTGCCTTCCTCAGCAGTCTGCATAAACTTATTCAGTTCATTTAAGGTGCTATTAGCAGCTGTTACAGCTGAATGGTCTTCTTTTGTTAGATTGATATTTTCAACTAAACTCTCTTGGATAGTTGATTCTAAGGCAACTATAGACTTTTCTAGATCAACCAAAGCAACTCTTTTTTCCTCTGGCAATGGACGCTTTTCGATCACGCAAACTGAACTTTGGAGACATTTTAGAGACTCTAGAATTGGTTTGGTCTCTTTCATGGGTTTCAGTTCTACAACTTTGTTTTCTTCTTGAGGTGGTTTATCTTCAATGATTTCGACAATTTCAAACGATTCTGGCTCATCTGCCGTTTCAGATACTGGAGTTTCTTCTTGATTCTGCTCTGTAGGTTCCTCAATTTTAGACGAAACTTTTTTGCTTACATGTTCTCTTTTCAAAAATTCTATAACTTTTTTCATAAAGGCACACATTGGTGAAGACAATGGAGCATTTTCTACTTCATGTTGGAACAGATCAAATTTATTAGCATCAGAGGACTTCAAAATTGAGATAGTTGTCTGTACGAATTTATTTTCGTCCTCAGTAAGTTGGTTCTTACAACTGTCAGCGTAATTTTGAATTTGTTGAGCTGCTGCTTCGTCAATATCCTTTTTATCAGTTATAGTCGCCGTCAGTGCAGTTAAAGATGCTTCAACAATCTTTGCTCTCTCCGACTTAACCTCATTGCAGTAGGCAACTTCAAGTTGAGATGCTACGTCAGGCAAGAGGTTCACCAAATCGTTTAACAACGGTGTTATTTTCTTTATAGGTGAATCTCCGCTAACAGTTTTTGATGCTCTGTTCAAAATGTCCAAAAATATCATGATTTGTTCCCTTTCAACAGGTACTGAGACCTCTTGGTATGTAAGTAGAGACGTGACATAAGAACCAATGTCGTCGAAAATTTTACTGACATTTTCTAAGAATCTAAAGTCGCATTCAGCTAATGAATATTCGTTTAAGTCATTGACAGCTGTTTGAAGTAGATACATTGCCTTTTTCAAATTCTGAACCTTTTCCTTGTCTACTTCAGCATATTTTATACTCGCTATACTTTTAGCAAGATTTTGAATAGAATCTGATACCATCTGTATATTTTGTGCCCTTATATTCGCCTCTTCTATCTCAAGTTCCTTTATGTCTTTTAAACAGAACAAACCCTTATTTATAATCAGGTTTACATGCTTTACCAAATCACTTTTGCTAGATGTTTTGTTCGATTGTACAAACTGTGTCAATGCTTGCAAAACATCGTCTGTACTTCTCGTATCTGTACTAATGTATTCACAAAAGAGTGCAATCGGTGCTGACGAATTTTCCAAAAAATTCAAATCATCGTCAGATAGTATATTCAAATCGGCTTTTCGTTTGTCCTCTTCTATAAGCGGTATTGTGAAGTGCAAATTTTCTGGTAAAAGTTTCTTCGGTTGACTTCCTGTAAAGGAGTTACATGCTGCTTTAAGTGCGCTAATACACTTGTCTACAGATGTTAGTACTGTGCGCTTTTCCACTTGCTCTAATACTTGCAACATGGTATTACCCAAATTATTTAACGGCGTTGAAAATGCTATTTTAAGTTTTTCTAAAGCATTTAAGTTACTTTGAACAAAATATAGTTCATTTACTCTTTCTTTTGCAGCATTCAGTTTGTCCTTACTTTCTCCGCTATACGACAAAGCTTCAACAGTCAGTTTTATCATTTCCAATACATTGTCAATGCCAACAAATTCGTTTGTGTTACTATTCTTAGAAAGTTCCTCTGCTAGTACAATAAATTCTTCAAGATAGTTTATCAACTCTACAAAATGTTGTTCTTTCATTTGTGAGAGCAAGCTTCGCAACTGATTGGCATTTTGAAGCTTCCTTGACTCAGCTGCTGGTTGCTGCTGCTGTATTTCTGAAGGCTCTTTAGTAGTTTCCTCAAGAGCAGCGCTCAGCTTATGTAAACAGTCTTGTACTTTGATTTGTTCAGTAGTATTATTTAGCTTCTTTATGATAAGTTGCATTTTCTCTACTTTCGAGTTTGCATTTTTTTCTTCAGATATAGTCGCATTTACGACATCATTGACAGCTCGCACAGCTTCATTCACAGCATCAATCTCACCTTCAGCAACCTCAATATCCAGTAACGCAACATGTGCCTTCTCCAACGCTTCCTTTATCTTTGGATATGCAGTAATTGCAGGTAACTCATTTACTTCGACTAAATGCATTGGTTTTAGTTGAACAGTCTTTTTCTCTGTTGCTTGTGAGAGATCTCTGAGTTTTTCCAAAGCCGTCTGCAGTTCTGGAGCCATTGGAATAGAAGCAGCGATATCAACTAAGCTTCTAACTATGGTCGCAAGCTTTTCATTGGATGATGTATTCGTGTCAGTTGCAGTTGATTTTATAGTATTTAAGATACTGTCAACTCTGTCCGCAATCATTTTGTCGCTTTTTATATCAACAACTGTACTTTTTATGAGGTTTGCACTGGCTTGTAGCTCATTCAGAACGTTGTCATCCGCTTCAAGTGTAGCAAGTATCTCCTTTATCATTTGGAACTTATCAGATAACTTATCAGATGGTTTTTCTTGCACAGCTTCAAATAATATAGCCATGGATCGTTCTACCGGTTGAAGGAGTACCTCAGCAGATTCTGTTGGCAAGGTCAGTGATTTTAGAGTGATATCCAGCTCCTCTAGCGCTCCTTTGACTTTAGCTGCACCTCCTTGAGTTACATGGTTCTCGACAGCAAAGTTCAACAGTTCCAACACATTATCGATTTGTTCTGTATCAGAGCTGTCGTATTCTGTTTCAAACAACTCTTGAACAGCTTTAACGGTTTCGTTAAGCTCTGTAACAAGCAGATCTTTATGTTCTACGTCCGGAATTTTCACCACTTCTTCTATGGTGTGTTTGATAGCTTCTAACTTTTCAGCTGTTGCCGTAATTTGTATCGATTCCTCTTTACATTTATCAATAATTGCTGATAACCCTTTGATTGAGTCATGTATCATTGTAAATGTCAAAGGTGTACTTTTCAAACTGGAAACTAGTGCATTCATTTTTTCTATGTTTGGTTTTTGCTGGACCCTTTGCGCAACTGTTTCATTCGTGGTCAGAGTTTGTAGAGAAGTATTTAAATCGACTACAGCAGCCTCCAGTTGGTCAATAGTTTCGGAAACAGTATCAGGTGGAACAGTCTGAATGCAGTTTATTATCTCAAAGAGAATTTCGTTCATAGTTGCTTGGCTAGAAAGTTGCTCCTTGATCCGTTTTGTTTCCTCTATATTCTTCAATGCCAGCTTAGCTGGTTCTTTGCCTAAAATATCACTAGCAGAGCTTACAGCACGTTGTACACTGCATGCAAATGTTTCATTGCCAGCTGTCAGTGTTTGAACTTTGTGAGTCATTTCCTCAATTTTATCCTTAATAGCTTCAGCCGGTACTAAGTTCGTTTTTACACCGACAACTCCAGCTAGAATTTTTTCAAGCCCCTCTATCATCTCATTCGCTTGTTTTGCTTCAGCAAGGTTGATGCTTTCCGCTTTTTCTAAGTTATTACCAATATCAATAAATGTATCTTTTAGCTCCGATATCTGAGCAGCGAAAATGCTCAATTCCGGAATCTCAGCAGCGCCTAGCAACGACTTCTTGACATTTTCAGCTGTACTTATGCTCTTTTTAATGACGTCTTGTGCTTCCAGTTGATGCATAGTATCACAAATATCACTGACTGGCTTAACGAGAGATAGTTCAACGTTGGAAGACTGCTTCAACTTTTCTATTGCCGCTTGAATACAAGCAACGTCAGCCTCGATATTAGCTAAGCTATTCCCCCTTGCTTTGCTAGAAATTATGGTATCGACCGTATCATCCAAAAGTTCCAATATTGCATCAAGCTGTTTTAAACTTTCTGCTGGTATTTTTTGCGAGTCAAGCTCTGCAGATTTTCTAATTTCATCTAGCTTCAGTTTCAGCGTTTCCATTGCAGCATCGCCTTGATTTTGAAAATCTTTTATGATGTTTGCTAGTTTATCTAAGTGCGATAGTGTTAACTTTGGCGTTTCTTCTTCTGCAACCATCGATCTCAATGCCGTACAAACTACTTTCAACGGCTCGGATAGATGCGCCTTTATAGTAGATGAAAGTGACGTCTTTTCAATTTTAACCTCAAGCTTTTCTACACCTTTAGCTGTATGCTCAGTTTCCAACTCAGCCATTACTTCTTTTATTACTCCTAGTGTATCTACTACTTCTTTCAAATCGCTAGTGTCCATACTTGGGTCAGACAAAACAGACTCTATTGCTCCCATAGCTTTTTTGAGCTCTGTCACAATAGGCTGTTTGGTTTCAGCATATGTCTTTTCCAGCTTTGCTACCTCCTTCATTATTTCTTGCATTGGCTTAGCATTTTCTTTGGCTTTTTTAACTGCAACTTTATTTTCTTCAGCTTTATCACCTTCTGCTTCTACTTGACACATTATATCGCAAAGATCTTTAACGGCATCCGCAAAAGAAATGTTTGCCGTCTCTATTAATTTACGAACTGCTTCTTGTATGACAGAAGCATCTGTCCTAATATTCTTTAGCTTACTGCCACTCGATTTACAATTGATAATGTTTATGACAGAGTCATCCAAAAGCTCCAAAACTGAATCAAGTGATTTCAGATGTTCAGGTGTTAATTTTTCTGAATCTGATTCTACAAGTTCTTTTATTTGCTCTAATTTTGGTTTTATAATTCGTAATGATTCGTCGCTATGAGACTGTAAATCACGTATAATACGTCCCAGCCTCTCAACATGTTGCAGTTGAGGTTTTTGTTCTTCTTCAGCATAAAGTAGAACCAAAGCTGAGCAAATATTACCTATTGATTCGACCAACTTCTGTTTCAAAGCAGGAGAAAGTGAAATCGATTCCAACTGTGATTCCAATTTTTTGATATCACTGTCTCTGGCTTTCACGTCGATTAACCTCAATAAATCTTTGATCTCCTTGAGAGTACGTTCAACTTCCTTTGCTTCGTCGGCTTCAAGCTTTTGCTCATGAAGTACTGTTTCAATTTGTGAAATAGATGACTTCAATTCTTTTATAGCAGGTTTTTTAGTCGGAGCTGCGTACGTTTCTTCTATCTTCAACATTTCTTTTTTAATCTCTGGTATCAATTTTAATGCTTCTTGGGGTACCTCCTGCTTTTTGTTTGCCAATTTTATCTTTTCCTCATGTTCTACAGCATCTTGGGCTTCTATTCTACACATGGTTTCGCAAAGATCATTTAAGGCCCGAGTGCATAAGAGTTCACTATCAGTTGATTGTCTCAAAATCTTTGATACGTTTGTAATAGAGGAAACATCCGCTTCAACATTTCTTATTGGAGTATCATTTGCTTTGCATGAAATAATATTGAGTACGGAATCGCATACAAGCTCAAGCGCTGATTCCAATTGTTTCGAAATTCCAGGGGGTATTCTGACCTGATCTAACTCCACTGATTGTTTAACATTAATTAGATCCGACTTTAGCTGTTTTAATGATGCATCACTAGAAACTTGCAAATCAGCAACAATGCTTGCCAATTTTTCCAAATGTGGCAAATGTAATGAAGTTTCTTCTCTTGTAATTATTGACGCCAGTGCTAAATTGACTTTTTGCAAAGGTTCAATTATCTGCGTTTTAAGAGCAGGTGAAAGTTGAATTCCCTGTATATCGATTGTTAGTTTTTCAACATCGACAGCACTTTCTTTTGTCTTACTCAACATTAACAATTCCTTCAACTTTCCAAAAGTCTCTTCGAGTTGCTTTACGTCTTGGCCTTCTAGATTTTGTTCAGACAATATCGCTTCAATACTCTCAATGACTTCTTTTAAATCAATTACAATAGGATGTTTGGCAGTTTCTTTATACTTTTGTTCTAACTCAACTAATTGTCTGCTGACATGTTGCAAAGATTTGATCTTTGTCTTCTTTATTTCAACTTCTTTCGTTGGCTTAATAGCTTGTTCTGCTTCAAGCTGACACATAATATTACAAACTTCATCAATATCCTTTACGAGTGACAGGTCAGATGTTTGTTTGAATATTTCTATTGCTGACCTTATGCATGAAACATCTGCATCAACATTTGTGAAACTCTTTCCACTAGATTTGCTAGTTAAAATATTCAGAATAGCATCATCCAGGAGTTCTAATAAAGAATCAAGTTGATTCAGGACGTCAGTTGGTAGTTTATCCAAGTGCGCTTCGACAGATGATTTCACTTGTTCCAATTTTGATTTCAAAGTTTGCTGTGTAGGATCAGATTGAGCTTGCAGATCGTCTATTATATCTGCCAACACATCGAAGTGTGCTAGTCTAGGCTTCTCCTTAGTTAATATAGAACTTAAGGCAGAGCTTGCAACTTTCAAGGGCTCAACTAACTCAGCTTTTAAGGCAGGTGAAAGCGAAATTGATTCTAGTTTAGCTTCTAGTTTCTTAATTCTAGTGTCGCCTGTCATTGTTTTGACGTCACCCAATGCCTCTTGCAATGTTTCCAGTGCAGATTCAACTTCTTTTACATCTTGGGTTTCTAATTCCGTTTCAAGTATCACAGATTCAATAGCTTGGACGGCTTCTTTCAGTTGCGTCACAGTTGGTTGCGTAGGACTTGATACATATTCTTTTTCCAGTTGTATCAGTTCTTTGTTTATTTTTTCTAATGAGCCAGACGATTTATCTTTCGATGTATCTTCTTCAGGTACCTTTACTTCTTCATGATGTTGAATCGTTGATATTTCTTCTAAAGATGTGCTATAATGTACAGTCTCCATTATAGTGCTTCCAACTTGGAGTAATGAATATGCTATGTGTCTCAAACTAGGACTCATTACTTTGTCAACAGTTTCTAAAAGGCTACTTGTCTTCGGCACTAACGTATTGATCACAGCAGAAAAATCACTAATGGTACACTTTTCAGGGATGCATCCCCTTAATTCCTTTACAGTACTACCAATCACTTCTAAGCACTCGTAGTCTTCAGGGCCTATATCGTGATTAAACATTTCAAGAGAAACAATCTCAATAGCATTTCTCAAAGGCTCGTGTATCGTAAACAGTCTTATTTTTAGCTCTTCTGGGATTTCTTCCAGAACTGTGGCTATTTCTATCAGAGGGTCCCTGACAGAACAGAACGCTTTTCTTCTCGTCTCTTCTTTTTCTCTCAGATCAGTAATAGTTTCATCTAGCCTTTTCAACGGTTCCGCCAAACTTTGTATTTGTCTGACATCTTCCAAAGTAAATGTAGCAGGCTGGTCCACTTGCTCCATAACTGTGCCTGCTTTAATCTTCTCTACGGCATCGACTACTTCTGAAGCAACTTGAAACAATTCTGGAGGCATCTGTTCAACAACGTGCGCCTGATATATCGGTGCAAGACATTTTTCCAGTTCGGTGATATTCGCAGCGATAGCTTTTCGTACTTCTTGTGAAAGATCTGATGTTTGTTCTAGCTGCTGCGTCATTATCGGTAGATTCTGAACGTTCGCAATACAGATTTTGATGTCTTCAAATGTCGGTTTGTCTTGATGGACAAGTTGGAACTCGTCTAAAACTTGTTGGTGCATCACTGCGACATTATATTGTAAATGCTCTAAAGATTTCATTATCTTACGTTTCGACGGACTTTCCGCTTGGCTAGCTAGAAAATCAAGCGTTTCTATGACGAGATCTTCAAGAAGCTCCAATGGTACGATGAAATTCTGCAGGGACATTCTATCGTCAACAGTTAAATCTACTTTAGATTTTCTTAAAACAGCTTCATTGCTGATATCATGCAGCATTTGCATTTTGGACAGGAATGGTTCTAAAGTCAGTTTATACAGTGGCTCCATACACTGTTCTTCAATAATGCTCAGCATGTGCCTAGTATCTTCCAAAAGTTGGATAGGCATCACTGTTGGGGAAGTATCTTCCAAAACTACGACAACATTGCCTTCTCTAGATGTATCCTCAGCAAGTGGTTCTAGATCAGTTCTGTGTTCTGTCAGCCCACAAATATTTTCTCTGACTTCGCACGTTCGTCCCCTTAGAGAGGAAAATATGATGCAGAGGTCCATATTTTCCAGTAACGTGTCATCAACTATGATACTTTCCTCTAGATTATTCAAAAGAGACACTGTATCTTCCAAGACGTATTTTTCTGTCATCGGAGTGATATTCATCAGTAAGTTATTCAACAACTGTATCGGTTCGCTCATTGCTTCTAAAGCAGACACCGTTGATTCTGTTTTGACGTCCTTGGATTTCTGAATTGCGGTCGCTAGATCTTTTTGCAGGCTAGCCAGCTGCCTCAAAGCCTCGAGTATTGTGGTGTACTTGACGGTCTTTTGACAAGCCTCAATATTAAAAATTAGATCCTCAACAGATTGAGTAATATTAGTGAACACTATATCGCTAACTCTTTCAAATACCTCTTTGACGATTTCCTGTGAAGCTGTGGTCGCTTTTGACTCAGCCGTTTGTTGAACTACGTTCAGCTTCACTTTTGTGATTCGTTTGATCATCTCCTCGGTAGCATTTGCCATTGTTTCAAGTACATTCAAGCTAACCATGCCTGAGGGTCTCTCTCCAGGCTTCGGACTGTTGATTGTGTCAAGCGCTTTGTTCATTTCGACAACAAGAAAACCAATCTGGTCAAGCAGTGCTATCCTGATTTCTTGTTGTAATGATTTTTCGTTGGCATATCGTATTGCTTGTTTTTCTAGCAATTTCAGCTCTTTCACAAGCGTTGTCAATGGTTCTGAAACTTTTTCTACTATAGCTGGAGCGAGATATTCGTACATTTGATTCCCATCCTCGTAAGCAACTGTTTTTTCCAAGCTTACAAGAGCACTTCTAACGATTCCAGCACTTTCGAAGAATTTCTCTAAGAGGTCATCATCTTTGCTCAGCGATGCTTCTAATGATGAACCTGTTGATAATGCAGATTGTGTTTTGTCTTTTAGCAAGTCATCAACTTTCTTAAGCTCGGCTTGCATTTCTTTGATTGTAATGCAAAGCTCTTGGATGATCTTCGAAGGAGTCATTCTACCAGAACCTTTGGTAAAATCTAGTTCTTTCTCCAGCAAGGTAATCTTCTCCATCAGATCCAAGCTATGTTGGATTTTTGAACCAGAGTACTCTAAGATGTTCCTGCAAGTCCTCTGTATCAATGTATGGTCTTTGCCTTTGACAGCGAAACATTTTTCAACAACTGATAGATTCTTTTGTAGATCAAATATGGGAGGAGCGATCAACTCCACAACCGATACTTCAGGAGGAGGTTCTTTCTGTTCGAATGACTCAAACACCATTTGAATATCTTTGAATGGTTGCGAAATGCTCTGTAGTACCTCTTGACTTCTATTAGCTGTTGCCGATGTGGATTTTGTAGAAGTTTCGATGGATAGTTTTTCCTCAACAGAAGAGAGTTGATTCTGAATTTCGTTAAGGTCGACTTTTAGTTGTTTCACGATATCTAACTCGTCTTTTTTCAGTTCTAAGATCTTAGCCTTATTAGCTTCTGGATCAATCACCAACCCATCGCCTTCTTCACCTTGCACGTCTCTTGGGAATGGTGAGGTAGGCATGTCCAAGCTCATCGTTTTCTTGATAGCTCCTCTCCTGAATCCATCTTTGGACATCTCATCTGAACTTTGCGAAGATCGCCGTCCTCTTTTCTTTATCTCTTGACTTTCGCTCCTATTCACTCTCAAGTCAGAGCCTATTTCGTGAGTGGTATGAGGTGTCAACGGTCTTCTTTCTTCATCTGGCAAACTGGTAGTTTCTGTGATTGCTGCCACCTGGTACGCTCTTTGGTCATCTCGTTTTAGCTTCTCGGAACTCATGGCACTTTCATAGTCTCCGTAGGATTCCGTGTCTAGTTCTGCAGCACCAGCAAGACTTTCGTCTCCTTTCTCTGAATCTAGAGAAAGATTCTTTGACAGGCTGTAGTAAGTGTTGTTACTTTGAATCGAGTCAGACTTTCTAGGTGGTCTTTGTGGTTTGCTATCTGAGCTTGAAGTGAGCTCGATTTTCAATTTCTCAGAGGTGACGATGGAGCTTTCGTTAACAGAAGACAGCATTTCGTCGACATCTGCTTCGGTTCGCAAATCTTCTTCTGCAGTGTGGAAGTATTCGTCGGAAACGTCGACTAGCACCGCTTCCATTAAAAGGTTTCCGGATGTTGACGATTCCTTCACGAACCTCAGTGGCGGGAGTTCGACTACGTTATGTTCTGAAAATGTACGTGCTGGTCAGGCTGCGATTCTTGAGTTTACAGGGTGAATTAGAAAGACGTGCTAATATTTCTATGGTAGAAAGTACTTCCAAAAAGTAACTATAGATATGGGTCCACATATGTTCCTCTATTGAGATACAGGGTCATGAAGTTTCATTTGCGAAATTTAAAAAAAATTGTATTTACGGAGCGTGTAAAGATACTGAGTTAGGATTCTAGACGCTCAGAGAGCAAAATATATCAGCAATATACACACAGAGTTTCCCGGCCCAAAAATGAATCAGGGACGTAGAAACAGGGGAACCCCTCCTATAGTAAGAAATATTTTCTACGATACTGGCCTGTTCGGGGAAACAAAGTGCATTTTATAGAATACCATTTGATTTTCCATCAATTTTGTCTTGTAAGGATTTTTGTCAGATCGCTCGTTTTGGAGATATTTAGATTTGTATATTTGAAGTGAAGTCCTAAATATTCTTATGAAAAGGTTAAGGCTTCCTTATTCTGAAAATACCACGAAGCTTGATATTGGATCATTATATGGCATGTGCAGAAAGCTATTGGACCTCATTGCAACATTAATTGATTAATATGCGTGACTTATCCTCAATCGGTAGCGCATGAGCTTACCATTCATTAAACCTTGTCTATGCATGCCACTGGTCCTCATGGTATGCTTCTCCTATGTTAGATTCTTCTGTTTATCTTGAATCACAATTAGTAATTGTGGAACCAATCAATTTTTGTATAATTCGTATTATTTTACTTCTGAAATTATTGGCCTTTTTTCTCAAAATTCTTAGCATTTCAGATTAAGTGACAACAAAGAAGATATCACAAATGCTGCATGGTGCACAGGCTTCTGTTGAATCCAGAGTTGGTCATAATCAACACCTGCTTTAGGTTGGATCTTATATAGGTAGTACTCTGTGCTCATAGCATATATTCAGCATATTTTTTTGTTCCTAATGTTATGTCCTCATAAGTTTAGAAATAACCACGAAGTTTCATCAAACATAATGTTTATTGTTGTCGTGTTTAATTCTTATTGGCATTATTTATCTAATTTAGAAATAAAGGTGTTCTTTGTTTGTTTTCGGGATAGGCTTAATGAATGGTAAGCTTATACGCTACTGATTGAGGATAAGACACGCATATTAGTCAATTAATGATCTATTGAGGAGCCATAGCTTTTTTCACGTGTCACATAGTATTTCCAATATCAAACTTCGCGGCATTTTCAGAATAGGGGAGGCTTAACCTTTTCATAGGAATATTTAAGGTTTTTGCCTCAAATATACAAACCTATATATCTTCAAGAGGAGTGTTCTGACAAAAATTCTTCAAGAGTATTTCATAAAATGTACTTCTTTTCTCCTAAAAGGCCAGTGGCGTAGAAAATATTTATATCCTCGGTTTTCACGTCCCTGGTTTAGTTTGGGCCGAGAAACTGTGTGTTTGTGCTTATGATGAGCTTACTGAACGAATAAAAATTTTAACTCAGTATCTCTACCTGTAGATTTTTTCAATTCCGTAAATGAAACTTTATCACCCTCACACCATCATTGGATCTTTTTTTGTTATATTTGGATTTACTTTCTACCCTAGAAATGTTGGTTCATCTATCTGAAAGACCCTGTATAGTCCACTTAAATCAGCTTTTGGGTTTGAAAAAATGCAACCACTCCAAAATGGAAAATATTATAAGTAATATCGTTCAGATACTCTTTAGATTATATAATTATTAAATCTAATTAAATTGTTAAATAATATAAAACTAAAGTTTTTAGAAACGAAAAAAATGGCGTCAAATAAGTTGACTCTGCACTTCCCACTCAACGCCGTTATCATTTCATAAAAGATTATGTTCAGTACAAACTAGACCCCTGAGAGAAAAATCAGTCAACCAGGCCCGTTCATTTAGTCCATAAACAATCCCTGCCCTCTTGGTAGTTACCGTCCATGTGGCAAGGTTGTCCCTTTCCACACTTGCGCAGCGAGTCATCTTTCGTTTCCTGCAAGGTCCGTGTATATGTCTATTTGCGCTTCAGTACGGGTAGATATATGAGCCGACCCGGATCGCCAGGTGGTGGGATTACATAAGCAGGAGTAGGCAGGTCGAAAACATTTATCTCTCAGTTTTATATGCAAATGTGCTGGTAAGCCTATGATGTGTGAAATATGATTAAAAGGTGCATTGAATAACTGGGGCTGGATGCGTATAAATATACTGAGATCAAGAAAGTTCATATTGCTCACTACCCCCTAGAACCCCCAACCCACAAATTTCAACCCCTACAGAAGTTTTTCGTGAAACGATCAGGACCCTCTAAAACGTCAGAAACTCAATTTGGAGTGATTTCAATTATTTTAGTTTTTGGCCTTTTTCTCCGCCTCCACTGAACCGATGTTCAAAAATTACAAAGAGTTTGCGACATTAGCATAGTGGCAACATTGTGCAAAAATAATATCACAATTTCGAAAATCTTCGCGATTACAATACTTTTCCGCAAGGCGTGGGACATAAAATTAATTACATACTTCTTACTCGCACATGATAACATGATCATACGTCCCGCTTTCAGTCTTTTCACTAATGAATAAATTATGGACAACTCAAAAAACACAGCTGCAGGTTCGGGTCCTAACGACTCTGTCAATAACGAAAGTGGGTATTGAAAAACGTGCCAAGAATTTTATGTTTACCTAAAATCATCTCCTACTGCATTAAAAGAAATTGATTCTTCTGACAAATATAAGAGCAACTAAACATGTATGTTTTTTATGTATGAAATGAAACCTATTTTGTGTTTTATTATGTACGTGCGTTGTGTAGTTTTTTAAGCCGTAATGAATGAAAAAATACATGGTCACGTTATATATAAATTCTTTGATAAGATGGTTTCTACTTTCTATGCCACTGGGCGAGAAATTATTGTAATCGGAAATAAGGTATGGTTCTTAGATATTATATGACATCACGAAAAACCATTTCTATTAGTCTGCCTGTCTGTCTGTATGTCTGCTAATCCTTGGACCGCCTTTAACTTGGGAAGTACACCTCGCATTTGGTTGAAATTCTCACACAAGGTCACTACTGTACCAAGGACAAAAAAGCTATGTAGTTTCTGAAAATCGCACAGATGGCATGAACTCGCTGCATCGGTGGAAAAAACAACTTTACCAGATGGTCGGTAACTACTACGGGTGAAGGGAAAGAATATCTATGGACCAATTGTATGGGACTTGACTGACTTGATTTGTTTAATTTCTTTGTTGTGCATATTCGTAACTGACTTTTCTCCCAGAGGATTTCTAATAAAACTTCAATAAGAACTCCTCAGATTATCGAAGACTTGCAATGTTTTCAAAGTTTGCCTCATTTAAGTGGACTATCTATCCTACATCGCTGTTCGACTTTCATTTACCCGAGACATGTTCTGACAGTTGATCCGCATACATTTCAACGATCTGAATGGCCTCCTCCTCGGTGAGATCCGGAGTTTCGTACAACGACACTGACACCTCTTTCCCATCGAACGAGAACGAGACTTCGCCGTGATCGTTAGCCGTATTTAGCGACTGATCTCCAGCTGTGTCGTAGAGTTGCGATGTGCGCTCTTCGTGGATGGTTGACAGCGACAGTTGACGCGAAAATTCTGCACGTTGCTGTTGCGCACGCGCTTTCTGGTCTTCGAAGCCCAAAAGGGAGGCAGAACTGGCAACCACACCCATGCAATTGCGCGCCTCGCACGTGTAAGTGCCCAGGCAACAGCTACCGTCCTGGAGGGATCACACTCCATCATCGGATATAATATAGTTAGAAAACGAACATGCATGCAAACCCTTGTTAAACGGTTTTTTTTCATGGATCGTAGTGACATTCAAAGAATACAGAGTTACCAGTAGAAGACCCACTCCATCGAAAAAATGATACCTCTGGTGGCTGAAATGCTACCTGACATTTGGGTCTGCCCGAAAAAATATTCTGATTAGGTTGTCTCCACAACCTTAATGAAAAATAAAAGAAATTCTTGGCGCAATTTTAGGTATGGCAATATGTAGATTCATTAGAAAAAAAACAATCAAAATATTTTTCTAAGTGGATGCGAAGAACATTTTGTACTATAACTACGCGGGTAGTCGATTTCCGACATCCGATACCCTTAGAAGTGAGATTTTAGGCACTTATTGTTACCCAGCGTATTTGGAATCCGTTTTTTCATACGGAAGCTCAAGTCGAGGTGTAATTGACAAAGGAGGTCATTCAAAAGTTTATCTATTATTCATGAGTGTACCATTGTCAAAAACGCGATATCACAAAACTGTGATGTGTAGTTTGACTTCTAATTTCCAAAATAAGCCTTGATCAATTTGGAGGCTTGATAGTGACTTTTCGGAGGTTGGTTGAGTATGTTACAGAATTGGAGGAGATCTTTACAGAGAACTTGGTCGAACTGGCTTGTGTGGACAATGTCGGAAAACCATTGAAAACTGGGCGTCACTTTCACTAATTCTTGTGTACAGTTTTCTGCTGATCATTTTCTATCACTTTATACACAAGTCCGCATTTATTTTCAATTTAAATATGTCAACCGGGATATAGTCACTGCTAGGGTAAATAAACCTGATCCTAAATTGAGAATATTAAGTCATCTATAGAATTACCCAAAAAAGACAGAACAAAGTGCCATCTGTTACCAGAATCGACCACTGCGAATTGTTTTCACCTTGGCATTGGTCAGTGAACTGTTTACTGTCTTATTTCGATAGACCTCATACTACGAGCGGCACGCTGTATATTTTGAGATGTGCATTAACTATACTAGTTAACACTGGCAAGAGTACACTACTAGAAAGAGCAGTCATTTATTAGTAAGTCGCCGAATTCAGTTCATTTCTAAGCATGTTACAGTGCACGTGGTGTAAACAAATTTAAGAGGAAACATGGAGTTGTCTCGAGAGAGTTATCGCACAATGATTTACTATGACTTTAAATTCGGTTTAACTGAACATCAATGTATCGAACGGTTACAACAAGCATTTGGTAATGAACCTCCGACCCTGGCAAGTGTGTTTCGATGGTATGCCGAATTTAAAAGGGGGCGTGTTCCATTGGCTAATGAAGAACGTAGTGGTAGGCCATGTTCTAGTGTGGTTCCAGAAACAATTGCTAAAGTTTAGCGGCTAATTGAAGAAGATTCTCGCGGCACATATGAGACTATAGAGGCAACTCTTGGGGTAGGATCCATAACAGTCATAATTTTGCATTATCATCTTCATTTAAAAAAGTTGTTGCGTGTAATCCACGACAATGCCTCTAGCCACACTGTCCAACTAACTGTAGACTTTTTACGCAGGCGCCACTTCAAAATGCTGGAACATCCGCCTTATTCGCCAGATGTGGCAATATGTGACTTCTGGCTCTTCAAAAATTTGAAAAAAATCTGCGTGGTCGAAAATTTTCATTCGAAGAGGAAATCGAACAAGCAATTAATCAGTTTGTTGAAGGCATTCCAAAAACCGACTGGTTAGAAAAAATTCATTTGTGGAATCTCAGGCTACAGAAGTGCATTGATGGTGGAGGAGAATACTTTGAACATAAATAAACTAGTTTTGGAAAAATAGTTTTTAGTTTTCGTGTATCACAAAATATATAGCGTGACCCTCGTATGTATAGAGGATAGATGCTTATATTTCGTTCATTGTCCTACTCGAGACCAAGTCTACACCTGAGAAGTTGCCAAATAGCACGCAACAGCTGTCCATGGTCGGCCATCTGTGGACGGATGGACGAGAACCATACCTATTACTAGTTTGATCTAAAGATCTGTTAAGGAACGTTACTAATAATGCACCTCCTGCATTAATATCGATACCACGTCCTTTATAGTTTATAGAAGCCCCATTCCATTTCTTCCACCATTTTCTATTCTTTATTTCAGTTTTTCAGTTTCTGTGGTTAGCTACAGATACGCAATTTAAAAAACATTTGTTTTTTACTTAACTCAGTGCCCTTGCATTCATTTCTAAACTTATGACCATGCAGTATATTTCAAGTTTTGACAAAATCGGCACAGTGGTTACTGAGGTTACCTAATGATAAAGAAGACAGTACGACAGATGCATCGTCGCCAGTCAGTGACGAAGACGCTAAAAACTAATTTTCATCACATAATTTTTTTGCCGCTTTAGGTGCCGCACTTCTTTAAGTGAGGCACCTAAAGAAAGGACCCGAGGTCTTAGAAAAATGTCGGCATCTTTAGAAGTCAAAGGCTTTTTCGTGCATGCCTTCTACCCGTAACTCTGTATTCTTTGGTGGACTATTATACGAGCAGTAAAAATGTTGCATTTCTAAAGCAGAGAACAGGGCACTTTTTCAGTGACGCTACATGCACAGCGTTGCTGACGCGCTATTTTAAAACTGTTCTTATAAGCACGATGACGTCTAGATAACCAATATGGTCATGCCGTGGTTTAACGTTATGACCTTCGCATTAAACTCCCCTTTCACAATAATTCCATCATGCTTTTGAAACAAAAAAAAAACAAAAACTACAAAAAGTACTGATCAAGGTCACCGAAGCAATAAAGGTCCGCATTTACAATCGGCCCTTAAGAGCTAAATGCCGAATGTTTATTCACCCTTGGATTTTGAACGAATGGGCTGTATCAAGTTTTCAAATAATTCAAGATGAAGATTACATCTTAGGTTTCTCAATATATCCGAGATTCTCCAAATTTTTAATAAATAATGCTGGATATGCTTAATATTTCCAACTTATTTTTCATATATTTGCTACAATCCGGCAACGTCCCTTAGTTCAAGCGCCTACCGGTGAGGCATTGGGCACAGCACAAACAGTTGACGTATGGACAGTGTTGCCGAACCTACTAATTTTTCGGCATTCCTACCGAAATAAGACCTTATTTACCGAAATACCGAGAATTTCTTCATTTTACATGATGTTTTACAATAATTCAGATATTTCCAGATTGCTTAACGAAAGAGAGCTGAAACCAAAAATAAAGCTGAAAAAATCTATTCTATGTAGTTTATGTAGTTTTATGTCCGATACCGATCATGCACAAAATTAATATGCATACGCAACCTGGTACACGAGGATTTTGGATAGTCTATAATTATGTACGCACATTCCTCACTTTGTTTCTCATGTGTTGGTTTTTGTGTGTACAACAGATACAACCTGGTAAATCACCGGCATTACCGCATCACCGTACAAGCAATGAGAAACCCAAAGCTCACCTGTTTCCAATCAAGTATTAAATTAAAATGTCAGGTGATGAAGCTTTAAATTCAGCAGTAAAACAGAAAAATACTCACATTCCCATAAAGCAGAATGGAAGAAGAAGTTTCCAAGATAGTGCCAAAGAGGTTTGTAAGGGGAACATTATGCTTATTGTAGTTCTATACTGTAAGAAGTTAATATTTTTTCAGGAAAAGATGCCTTCAACAAATCTGTGTTGTATGATCTCGCGAGCAATACAAAAATCAATGTTTTTCATAGATGGCGCTGAATGAGGCAAAGACCCTTGATCTACCGCCGATCTTCCGTCCGCCTCATATCTCACTCTGGCAAAGAGTGGGGCTAGCACACCCTTCATAGGGCCTGAGACAGCGATTCGGATCGCATACAATACGGCTAAACAAATAATCTCTGCAGAGATGGACAGAAAGATCCATCAATACTGGAAGTGATTAGCAGGGTGCTAAGGCGACTATACCAATCTTGACAAAGAAGGTAACAGACTCTTTGCTACAGATGAACAGGAATAGCCTTAAAGCTCTAGTAGGACTGTACACTGGTCATTGCAAATTGCGTCACCACATGAGCAGGCTGGGCATGGCGGAAGTCGCTGAAGGCAGACTGTGCATGGAGAGAGATGAAACGGTCAGGCACGTATTTTGCAGATGCCCTGCAATTGCCAGAATCAGGTACAAAATGTTTGGCGACGTAGTACTCCAAGCAGAAGACCTGACGATATTTCTACAAACAAGTTAATCGATTTCCTCAGGAGGTCAGAGCTACTGGGGGAAATTTAAATAGGTGTGAGCCACAATATACCAAAAAGTCGCAGTGGAGGATCGTAATTGATGCACTCACAAGAAACCTAACCTAACCGCTGGTCTTACGATGACCCTGATTTTTACCTGCTACCGATTTTGTGCTTGAATCTACCGAATTCTAAAAACACTATCTACCGATTTCGTCTTTTTCGGTTCGGCAACACTGCGTGTGGAACTGTGAGTGGAACCGTCCATTGAAACCAAAAGGTCACTTGTAAAAGATAGAATCAGGCCAACCAGCAGCGTTTTTGTTATAGTTTCATTTTCGTTAAAGCAACTTTAGAAGTTAATTCGGGAACAGTGACCATATTTTTACATATTGCTTTCTAATAGCAGAACTGTCTGAATACTATTTAATACATGTAGTCGAGATAGACCTATGTATAGCCAGGCCATATACTGCAATATGTTGCTGATTGCTGGGCTATAGTTGCCAAATGTTGCAACAAAAATATTGGTCATTCAAAAACTGCATTACAGCGATTAGGAAACTAGACCTTCACAGCACACTCAAATACTACAATAATGCATCACGACGCTTAGCGCCCATATAAGATATAGCTCTTATAATGTAATATCTGAAAGTTAGACTGGTTTTCATGCTGATAATCCCACATGTTTATCTGGCCAAATCAAACAGCATATACAGTATGTTCGAAATGCCTCGTCATTGTAAAGCCGCGTACAGAACAAGATTCCAACGCAAGCCAAGGCACATTATGGTTACAGATTTGGAGGTTTCCAAGGTCGGCGTTTACGTTTGATTGCGTTCGCTCCTTGATCGATACATCCAAGGGAGGTTTGATTTGGTCTGAACAGGATTTGTTGCGCTTCTAGTATTAAGTCGTTTGTCTGCATTCGATGAGAGGAGACTCGTCGCTCGACATAAGCACCAAACCTAACCCGACGCGGTCCAGCTCGAAACTAAATTTAGGTGTAGACGAGCGCATTCCAATACCTTCCAACAACAAACGCCAACGTCACATGTGTTTGCATTCGTTTGCTCGGCGTTAGATTTTCGGTCTGTACGCGGCTTAAGACGTTTCGGTCCCCACGCCCCGACGGTAAGCTATTTGAAATGCGATTAATACTTCTGAAAATATCCTTTATTTATCTGTCTTCCAGGCTTTTTTTCATTTACACATTCCTATACAGTGTGTTACTACAGTTACAGTCTGAACGGTCGTTTAACATCATTGCAATTTTAAGATGGCACCCTGCAAAAGCAGCAAAGTTCATTCGCGACTGGGGGAAGGTATTCCCGTTTACAAAAGGAGTCCAGCACTCCAAAGCGACAGGCGAGCATGAGGTTATCAGTCATTTTTCAATGTACCAGATACGCTCATCGTCCCGAAAACACCAAAAATACTCCGATAACGCGCAAGCACGCACCGATTTATAAACAATGCACATGCAGCATTTATAGTCGAAGATTGTACATCAATTAACCGGTGTGTTACGACCAACGATGATAAATAGAGATAGATCTAGACATGATACTTTCGTCCGACCGACCAAAAGACTGCCAACCATGGACAGCTGTTTCGTGCTTTTTGGTTACTCGTCTCTGGACAAACGAACGAAAACATCACAACTATCCTCTATCCCGGAGGTACGGTCTATCGAAACAATACGGCGCAAAGCGCCATCTATCGTACCAGAAACATCTCTAGTTTATTCAATGGAACATCGACTTTATAACCAGAATCGTCACCCATGTAGCGGTCACGTGGTGACTGGGCTATTAAACGGGTGCTGAGATCCCTAAGACTACTTGCACACTCACCGATTTTGGACGGCCGGTAAAATTTCGGCCGACCACATTTGAATAGTAAACGATTGGAGGGCATTAAAGCTGGCACACTGGCCGACCACCGACCGGCATCGGAAAAAAGCCGGTTAGCAGCCGGACATTGTCACTGTGATGCGCCGGTACCGGGAATATAGAGGCATACGTGTTTGAATAGGAGCTTGCACACTCACCTATTATTTAATGGTCGTGATTACGACTGCATATACATTTACAATGGATAAAGAGATGAACATCGATAATGACATACTTATATCGCTAGTGGAAGCAAGACCAGTTTTATGGGATAAAACATATTTAAAGGCAGAAATGGAGTCCAAAGAGAAAAATGAATCCAGAACTTTCGCTTAATTCTCCGACGCTTTATACGCTGGTACAGTAAACACATTGCAACAACTCGTTGGGGATTCATTTAAAATATTATTTGAAATCAGCACTGCACCGGTAAAGCAGAGGGTACCGATAAAAAATCGGTCGATATTTTACCGGCCGTCCAAAATCGGTGTGTGTGGAAGTAGGTTAACAGATCCAACTAATATCAGCTATGCGTTCTTACAAGTAGTCGATTCTGGTGCCCTAGATGGCGCTTGCTTTGCGCGGTCTTGTTTCGATGGACATATCTGTTTATAAAATTTCCATTTCAGACATTCGAATGTTTTAGTTATGTCATTTTACGCTGCTGCCATCATTCGCAGGTGAAAGCCGAACAAACGTTTGTTATCGTAAGTACATATATATATAAGTTTTTAAATGTTAACACACTATGTGTCTAACAGCAATTTTGCATACAAACTTAACGATGTATCACATGTTACATTTATCTTCTTGGTTATAAGGAAAAACTCGTTATTTATTTTTTTTAAGTAGGCGTTGCAAACAAATGCTTGACTTGGCGTAAATACCTGTCACCGACTATTGATACCATTGAGTATTGTTTTACTATTTATGTTGCTTTATTATCGTCAAAAATGCCAGGCGGTCATTTTAGCAATGAAGAAAAGTTCGACATGCTACGTTTTGGGTTACAAAAGTACCAAAAATATTGCAGAAATGTATCTTGATAAATTTCCCGAAAGAAGGCAGCTAAGTGGAGTGGTACGAAATTTAAATGAATATGATTCATTCAAAAAGCATGTTACGTCTCGAAAAAAGGAATCTTTAGAGGAAACTCAGGATAGTGAGAACTCTGAGATATCAACTAGGCAAATTAAGAAAAATGTACAAGTAGCCAAATCCACAGCTCAATTTATTCTGCGTAAAAATAGATATCACCCTTAAAAATTCAGGATTAGCCAATGACTTAGACCAGAGAATAGCAAACGGCGGCAGCATTTTTGTGAGTGGTACACACGAACGAGTGAAGATGATTTTAATTCCCTTTCAAACATAATATGGTTTGACGGGAATATGGTCACTAATAATGATATTTTAATCACCGCAATACTCATTACTGGGCTACAGAAAAGCTGCGGGCTAAAAAAGTATCCACACATCAAGGACGTTTTGGGTTTAGTATGTGGTGTGGAATTCTAGAAGACTCTCTGGATAATTTACCTTTGGTTGGTTTCAACAAGACGGTGCTCCTGCACATAACTCTAGGCAAATTCGTTAGTATCAGCGATTTCCCGGAAGGTGGATTAGAACCTTCAGTGAAGTGTTCTGGTCAGCGCGATCTCCGGATTTAACTCTCTAAACTTTTTTGTTTGGAGTTTTATTGAAACCAAGTTTATCAGCATACTTTTGAAACTGAGTAGCAGTTACGCATGTGTAATGGAGCATTTAGTATGATTACAGCAGAAATGTTACGTGATGCTTGGAATTCAATTGTTGGATCACATCTATGTTCAGAAAATAATGGCAACCTATGTGAACACCTAATGTGAGTAAAATAAAAATAATATTAAAAATGTATTCATTCTGAATATCACTAGGTTAAGCATAATTTTATAAAATCATATCATTATGTAGTATGTAGCTATGCATCTATCAGTATTCACATAAGCTTACATCAAGCATTTGTTTTCTTTAAAACTAATAAAACAAATGTGACACATTACATAGTTAAATTCCTATAAAAGGACATTACTTTTTTCGGACCATATAAAAAATAAAATTGATGATGGTTTCTCAAAGACGAAACGTCAGGTTCAAAATTTAAAAACACCATCATGTAGTGCCTAAAAAGTGCCAATTAAAAGGTTTAATCAATCAAATGTAGCATGTGGTACATCTTTCAATACGTAAAAAATATACTTTCAGATACAAGGTATACTTTTTTGCACCATATGAAAAAATAAAGTTGATGAAGTTCTTAGTGCGGGTTTGGTCGACTGCTCAGTATTACACATGGTATCTAAAATGTTGAACACAAAAGTTGTAACGAGCAGCATGCTGCTGACTTGGAATGTATGTTTGTCTCTACAGAGTGATTTGTGGCTACATGCTGGTGGAATATTTTAATCTATGCTATGTGCTAACATACATTTTTTTAAATAGAATGCCCTATTTTTATTGCAGAAGAGGATATACTCTTTCACACAAAGCATTTTGATATAACATACTGTGGGGTTTTGATTTCAACCTGTTAAGATATTGGACAATCAATTGAAAAAATAATTAACTTGGACAAACTGCGATTCTGATGGATTTCACTTTATTTTCGTTTTAGGAAAGGCCGTTATGTTGGTTATACGTTGAGTGGTGATTTTTCCTCGCCTGTGAGAGCGAAAAAACTTTAGCGTAATGAAGAAGAATGTTATACATGCCCAACGAAAGAGAATTCATGGACTTCCTGTAGCAGTAAACTCATTCAGGAAGACATTAAACAGCCTTTCGAGCATCTTGAAGAAAAAGTTCTACATAAGTAGTGACTCATGTACCTTGAGTACATTAGTCAGTATAGGTAATAGTGTAGGTTTTGAATTGTTAGTGAATTTGTTCCATGGCCTATGGCCTAATCGCATGCGATATCATAGCTGTATGTATGTAGCCACAGATTTTTCGATATTATAGGTATTACCAAGAAAAAAGTGGGCGTGATTCTCTTAAGAAAAAATGCGGAAGTCCCGTCATCGCGTTCATCACTCTCATCTGTAAAGACGAAATCCGACGAAACGTATGATGTAACGTATCATTTTACCAAAAAACCGATACATTCGTAAACTTTTTTGACAACTGTCAACATCTGCCAGAACTTGATATCATTCCCCAGGGAAGAGAACCACAGCCACTTTCCACTCAGTGAATCTGCTCCCCCGTTTTCAAGAACAGGAGTCCTATCTGGAATCCTAACCAGTAGGTATTTCCCGCCAGATGAAGCACAGACATTTTATTGTTATTTATTACTATTATAAGATGTCCAAATGTATTATAAAATTGCAAACTAAAACATGAAATTAAACAATAACTTCGTATTTTGGTATTTTTGTAGTAGGCAAATCTAAACAAATTCTGTATATCTAACCAAAATCATAGTAAAAGGGAAATACGTACTTGGTATTCACATGGAAATCAAAAAATGAAAATAACGTGGATGTATTCATTTATTTGGAACAAATTGTTTTTGAGACGAAAATATCTATACATTTCATGAATTCATGATCTTATGGCACGATCCGACACTCGAATTTTCATTCACCTGCGAAATTCTCATATATTGGGAGAGTTTCATGTCTAATCTGAAATAGAACCTCTTTATATATACGTACACATAACCCAACTTCATTTAGCGAGTTTGATGTGAGCGCGGTGATATTTTCATTATATGCCACTCGTTCAAATATCATTCATTCCACTGCGGCAGTCATTTTGTACCTCCAGGTTACCAAGCAATGTTGGAAAATAAACAAATGTATACGTATAATCATGAATGAACACCAGTATCTATAGATATATCGTCGATGGTCACAATAGTTCTCGGTGGGTCTTCGCTTTTATCGAATGACTTTTGCTGTTTTCGGCAAGATGGACGAAGGCAGTGCCGGATGCTCCGCTGTTCGATTTGGGTTGATATGAATAACGTGCATATTTTCACCTACAGGCCAAACAGCTGGACGGATTTTCACATATGAAGTGTCGTTGGATTCATCTTAGCGGTGCGAGAGACACTGACTGCATTAAAATTTTATACAAAACAAAATGGTGGATTTTAATAAAAGATTTCAACCTTGTAATTCCTATCTCATAGGCACCAGCTCAGACGGCTTGATAGATTTTCACATATGATGTATCGTTGCATTCGTCTTAGCGGTACGAGTGACACAAGCTACATTAAAATTTTATACAAAACAAAATGGCGGATTTCAATAAAAGATTTCAACCTTGTTATTCCTATTTCACGGGCTTCAGCTTAAACGGCGTTCTAGCTCCACAATAGAGCGTATCGTCAGTTTACTGTAAAAACCAGATTTTTCTACATTACCTATATTTTAGTATGTTCTGTGGAGCACGATTAACACACTCACGACGTCAATACTGCAGTACATTTATTTATCCTTATTTCGCAGAACGTACTAAGTACTAAGTACATGTAAGCGTGAAAATGTACGCAATTTGAAAAGTAGAAAAATTGGGTTATCTTCTTTTTGCAGTGAGCTGGCGGTAAAACAATAAATGGAAATGACTTAGTCTAAGCAAAAATCTTTCTCTATTTCCTTTTACGATTTTTCTGGTCTTTCAAATATCTATTCAGTTCTTTGATTCGTAAGAACATCCTTGACCTGAAAAAATAGTTTCTTAGCTTTTTCAGGCAGTCAATGTTGCTGCCCTTCAACAGAAATTCGCCTATAAAATTTTGCCTTTCTGTCACTATTCCATCCCCATCGAATGGAACAAGTACGTTGTTAAGCTTCTCAATGTGATTCATGAAAGCTGTGGAAGGTTTTGATAATCCACCCTCACTAAGATGGTCTATCCATCATGTCTTTGTAAGGATTCCATTTAGATTGGTTGTCGGAATTACATCCCACAACAGCACACCCCATTTTTATCAATTTACCAACATTACAGGATATTTAAAGTATATATAACTAATACAACAAGTCACAAACCCACCAAAAATCACCAAGAAATCGCACTATATAGTATTAACCATGATACATGTGCACTGCAGTAACGTTACGGTCGCTGGTAACCACAAGCCGACAACTCTCAAGGTGACGTCACGAAGTTCCACCCACACGCGCAAGTTTCTATCTTCAGTGTATGTGTATGGTGGGACGATGGTGACATGTACGGCTCATTGAACAAACGTCAGAATCATCGCTTTGGGGTGCGGACCCTCTTTTGGGAATGGGATTACCTACCTCAGGAGGACCAGGACTTCGCTCGTTTTGCGCGGTGCCGTCTTAAAATTGCAATGATGGCTTCGCTTAATCTTAGCACGTTGCAGGACCGTTCAGGCTAGTAGTAACACACTGTATAGGAATGTGTAAATGAAATAAAAAACAAAAGCGTCACCTGGAAGACCAGTGGCGTAGCGAGGAGGGAGGCGGGGGGGCGGACCGCCCCGGGCGCCACCAATAGTAGGGCGGCAAAATTGACCCTTTTTGTACCCTTCACGTGGTACGAGCCTGCTGTAGACTCCGTTTGAGAGGGAACCGCCGCCGATCCGTGCTACATGAGGAAAAAATATTTTGTCGAGCATATGAAAAACTACCAGATCTGGTGAAAAATCACCACATCTGGCAACCCTGGTACCTTCCTCCCAATACCAGTAACTTATTCGCCCCGTCTTGCGCGCGCATATTGCCTGTCTCTGTCCCACACGTATTCTAGGAGCACCCACGCGTCGCGTCGCCGCGCGCCCTTCCCTTGACTTCATTTTGTTCAATTAACAAAAAACAAAGCGACTTGAGTGTCGAATTGACAGTGCCAGTGAATTTTTGGGGAATTCGTAACAGTATTTCGCGGTTTTGTATCCCGCTAAGCTGCCGTTTTAACAGTAAGTAAGTTTTAGTATGCTTTTTATCGTAGATCTCACGGAAAATATAACACATTATATGTGAACGCAGGAGATTGGGAGATTATGCGCGCTTTTTCGAAAGCCAATGTTTCGTTGCATTACGTATTTAAATTTTAGTGATCGAGTTCATGTAAAATAATATAAATAGATTACCTGTTTTAGCACGAAATATTGATAGTTAAAAAAAATAATAATTTTATAACTGATTAGTTAATACCCCTTCCCGTGCCATTACTTACCTGCCTATAGGTTCAAATTTTGCTGCCCCTATATTGGCCTAAAAACTTACGAGCTAAATCAATGTTACTTTCAGATCATGAAGAGGCATAAGCCTAGCGGTGATTTTTACAGGAAGCAAAAAAAAGCCCGAGAGGAAGAAAATAAGAAAAATAAGGGATCTTTACTCAAGTATTTTGACTCGACTACCGAAACAGCTGAATCTGAAGTTGATAGAGAAGCTAGTACTAGTGCCACTCCAAATCAAAAAGCTGTTTCGTCTTCTAGTGGCGGACTTACCGAATTTGAAGATTTGCCTAATGAACCAGCGGTAGTAGGTGAACAATTGAAACTGTTGGTGGAAGACGAAAGCTATGAAGTGATCGATACTCTTGACATTCAGGATGGATCTATCAGCGATTACAAAGATATTGGAACTTGGCCTATTTCCATTACCGATAATCTTCGAACATTACTTGTGACTCGAGGCTACAAAGCAGTACAGAACCTTGACTGTAAGTTTGCTGAAGTGATTAGGCCAGGGCCTGTAGAATCTACCAAGGGGCTCAAAGGAGTGGCAAGAAAATTAAGCCGTGATTGGTTTTTCCGAACTCTACCAAATGGCGAAAAGATTCTGAGAACATGGATGGCCTATTCCTTAGTTAAGGAATCATTGTTCTGTTTCTGCTGCCGTTTGTTTGGGGTCGTCGATAAAGCTGGATTCAACAGCATTAATGGTTTCAAAAAGTGGTGGAAACTAAATCCCAAAGTTTTAGAACATGAATCTAGTTCAGCACATAATGACAACTTCAATAAATGGAAATCTTTGGAGGTAAGACTTCAAGTTGGTGCAACGATCGACAAGCAAGAACAAAATATGATTGTTAAAGAAGAGCAGAAGCTGAGGCTAGTACTGGTCAGGATACTGGATATTATCAGATTTCTTGCTAAACAAAATCTGGCCTTGCGAGGTCATAGAGAAATCATGAAAGAAAATGACGCTGAAAATAGAGGCAACTTTCTAGGACTCGTTCATCTTCTTGGCAAGTACGACCCGGTTCTTTGTGAACACCTTACAAAGCTGAAACTGCAGAAGAAAGCTAGTGTATCTTACCTATCACCTGAGATTCAAAATGAATTCATTCATTGTTTAGGAAATTATGTTCGAAAAAAGATACTTGCTGAAGTGAAGGAAGCCAAGTATTTCACTATTGTGTTCGACAGTACGCCAGACTTCTCCCACAAGGACCAGACGAGCCAAATACTCCGTTATGTGAAACTCGACGGTACCAAGGTGCAAGTGATAGAATCATTCATTGACTTCCTTGAAACTGAAGGCAAAAACGCTGAGGATATAACTAAAATGATTTTGGACAAGATTGAAAGCGACGGACTAGATATCCAAAATTGCCGTGGACAAGCATATGATAATGCAGCTGTCATGTCGGGAAAACATTCTGGTGTACAAATGCGTATCAAGGCAGTTAACCAAAATGCTCAGTTTGTTGCATGCACTAATCATTCATTAAATCTGGTGGGAGTACAGGCAGCATCAATCGCAGTGGACTCAGTGACGTTTTTTGGTATTATGGAGAGGGTTTTCAATTACTTTTCATCCTCTACTCACCGCTGGAAAGCTCTTACCGACGTTACAGGTAAAGGAGTCAAGCGCTTAATTGAAACACGATGGAGCTCTAGATATGAAGCCGTAGCTGTCATGAAGACCCATTATAGTGAGATCCTTGAAGTGTTGGAATCACTTTCAGGAAACATAGCGGAAAATACCGGAACAAGATCAGACGCTGGTTTATTGCTTACTGCTCTGCAGTCACTATCATTTTTAGCCTTCCTTGGACTATGGAGTCGTGTTCTTCGGGAAGTAAATGATGCACAATTATATCTCCAGACGAAACGACTGAACGTGCACCAATGTGCTATGAAAATTCACGCTTTAGAATCGTTTTTAGTAGAAAATCGAGATGTTCTCGTCAATGATGCACTTGATTATGCTAAAAATATATGCGAAGATCTTGGCATCGAAATAACTCCTCGACGATCAAGAAAGATAAAAAATATGGCTGGCGAGAGCATTGCAGATGCTGGTTTAACTTATGAGAATCGGTTACGGCAAGAAATGTTCGAATCGGTGGACAGAATTATACAAGAAATTAAGACAAGATTTCAACAGCTAAACGAGTTAGATATCAAGTATAATTTTCTAAT